GTACATATGGTGGGATATTGTTCAGCGATGAAAAGGAAGGAAATTCTGACACATGCTACATGGATGACCCTCAAGGACATTATGCTAAGTGAAGTAAGCCAGCCACAGAAGGACAAATACTGCAATTCCACTCATAAGAGGTCCCTAGAGTAGTCAAATTCAGGGACTCAGAAAGTAGGGTGGTGGTTCCCAGGGGCTGGGGGAGGGGAATGGGAAGTTAATTTTCATCTTTGGGAAGATGAAAAAGTTCTGGAGATTGATGGTAGTAATAGTTGACCAACAATGTGAATGTAGTTAATACCATTGCACTAAGCACTTAGAGCTTTAAGACGATAAATTTGATGTTTTGTGTATTTGCCACAATTAATTTTTAATGTGCTGTTATTTTCAGTATTACATATTTCTTTCAAATGGTTGGGTTTCTGTATTATTAGAGACCAAGCAGATGTGTCCGGAGTGAAACTGAAAACAGGTGGAGGCTTATAAATCTGCCAACATGTGCAAATAGAAACACATACCCTGCCAGTTCATAATCACCATGTGCTGGCAGATGTTATGAGTGCTTTGCAGGAGGAGAAAAAATTGCAAAGCAAGTGCTCCACATCTACAAGAAGCCCAGGGAGTCCCAACAGAGTGGATTCAGGTGTACGTGCACCTGCAGAGGAGGCAGAACCAGCGATGTGATGAAGGGTGCTTATTGTAGCAGTGATGCTCTGTATCAAAAGGCATGAATGAATTTTTACACACGATAACCTGAATAAAGTGCAGTTGTTGGATCTTTAAGGAATCATCCAGACTGCTCCATATTGTGCTCCTATTGAATATTTGAATCCCTTATTATTTCTTAAAAAAAAGAAAACAGAGTTATAAAACATCATTTCTTACCTGTATGTACTTATTTATTGATCCAACCAGAAGGTAAAGTTCAAGATTCTTATTGGCAGCCTAAAGAGAACAAAAATAATTATCTGCAATATATGACCCAAGACAGACTTGACAGTGTTCTTGAGGTGCCTTCACTGTGCTGTTACTCTGGGTTCTTATTTCTCGGACCGAGAGCCCTAGAATCACAGATGGTGGAGTCCAGGCCACAGGGATGTTTTTCTAAGAATTCTGGAATCCTCTTGTGAACTATATCCTATGCTCCTTTCCATTGCTTCTTCCTCTTTTTCTTTTTCAAAAGCAGCAACTTTCCTATTTTTTATTCTCCATTCCTATTCTAAACACAATCACCTATCATAACTTAAGGGTATGACTTAGTGTCTTTAAATCAATAAATCAGCTTACATTTAAAACCTGCTCTGTAACTAGGCACTGCTATCAAGGCAACATGGCAAAACACATATCATTTTTTAAAAGAATCGTAATCAAACTGGGCAGAGAAACAAGCATATAAACTAACAATAGTAAAATTACAAACCATGACTACAGATACAGGTATAATGGGTACACCGAGCAGGACAAACTGGTTTCCATGGGGAGAAATCACAGGATTCCCTGAGATGGCAGCATCGGAGCCAGGCCTCAGGGAGGTCGAGGAGGTCCAACAAAACAGAAAGGAATGGGACAAAGCCTGAACAAGGAGCGCTGGAAACCAGCCCTAGAGTATCGGTTTACATTACTTAAAGCGTATCTTCACCGAAAAAGAACCAAGACTGTGTGCTTACAGCAAACACAGTTGTCACGAACAAGCATGAAGGTTCAGCTGACAGGCCATAGTGGTCATAAAATTATGCATTCCTGGACTGCTGGTATGCTGGCAATCATTTGGGACCCGGAAGCAATACACCGATGTGTATATACCACTGGGTGCAGTTGAGGGTGTGGACCACCATTGTCCCGAGCCACATCAGAGCCTGTGGAGCTCCATCTGGCCTGCTGCTCCGGGTTTGCTTTGCTGAGAGTGGACAGAGCTTACCTGGCACGTGCACTCCTGATCCTCGACTTGGCAACCCCAGAAAGTATCAACTATCTGGAAAGATCCTGGTGCAACAAATAGTAGCAAGACTCAGAGGGACTGAGATGCTGTGATAAATCAAATAGCCCGGTGTAACTTAGGTTATTGGTGACTGGGAGTAGGGAGGGGAGACCTGAAGGCTTGGGGTATACTTTTTTGTTGGGATTTGGGGTCACTTCAGGCAGTGGAGGAGTGGGAAACAGGAAGAGGGCTGACATGCTGAACCTGAGTTTTCTGAAGGTGACTCTGGCAATAGTCACAATGTAAAGGGAGAGAAACTAGGGACCACCTTCTGCATTATTATTACCCAGGAAGAAAAGCTGAGGACCTCTGTATGGACAGGGATGCTGGCCATGGTGTACAGAGCTGAGCAACATAGGCCATGTACCAAAGCAGAAGCAGGTGCTGCAAGGTTCTGATTATGTCTCTACTGGGAACTGACCGTCAGGCAGGCCTTGTCTCCAGCCAACCTCTAAGAAATGGAAGGCTGTGACATCTCAAGAACTTAAAATAAGATCTTCTGAAAAAATGTCCTTTCTTTGTCCACATGCTTACACCCCCGCCCCTCCCAATTCTGTTAGGCTTCATAAGGAATTGGATGTTCAAAGAAGGAGAGCCACCTACCCAATGCACCCATGTCTGTTACCAACAGAACAGGGACTGAGATTTAAGACAAAAAACGGGATGTTCCAAATGCAGAGAAGAGAAAAGCTTTATCTTTCTGCTTCGAAATAAGCAATAAATGGGAATGTATTACTCCACAGCCATGTCACTGAATACTTCTCAGGCAGAGACGTTTCTATAGGGAGAAACACACTAATCATTTTAAGTGCTTTTACTGACTGATAAGCTTTAACAATATGATATTTTTATTCAGTCAGTTTGAACTAGAACCCTGTAAGGACACTAGCAGTTATGTGGAAATCATCAAGACAGAATGAAATTAATATTTATCCAGTGAGGCATCAATAACAAAATGAAGTTTTGCTCCCCCTGTGCTCAATTTTGGACTCTCTTCCCAGCCCAGCCCCTCAACCTGGGAACATCTCACCACTTGTTGAGGATTTCCCTTCTCTCATTTACTCACCTCCCTTTTTGGACTGTCCCAACATCCAACATTCTTCTTCCTGACCACCTTTCCCAGAAGGCATGCATCCCAGACACCCACACACAGAAAGGGTTTCCATAACATCTTGCCTCACCAAAATAACATATCACATCAGTATAGTTAGGTCAAGAGTGCGTTTCCAAAGGGCAGGCACTGTAATTTCACTTTTCTTTGCATTGTCAATATTGAGAAGACTTCAAGCACAAACTTCCCTTCTTATATAGGAATTGGAATTTTTTTCTACAGAACCCAGACTCTTTTTTAAAAAGGGAGAGTAAAGAGAACTCAGGTCTTAAAATATTTGCATAGCTCTGTTAGAAAAAATTCTTCATAGGGTACAACAACCTGCCATCCTTGAGCTTCTCCATGTGTCTTGGTCCATACACTGGCAATACAAAATTTAGACTGATTCATTAGTGTTCTTACAGGAAAGCACAAAGTCAGTTTGGAATAAGCTATGATACTAATGGTGTGGAGTGTCGATGTGATACCGAGTCTTTAAGGAGGTGCACAGTTCTGTTCACAAACAGCTGCAGAAATTACTACTAACTTAATGATGGGGCAAAACAGGTATTTTTAAACTGCTGATTGATGATATCATCTCCAGTGTATGTGCCAGGTGTGGGGCAAGAAGAGAGAAGATTTGGTAGCTGAAACCTACTGCTTAGATTAATCCAAAGACTCTCCAGCTTGTCTGATTCTAAACCTAAAATCTTTCAGTTCTGTGTACTTTATACAAAACATTTACTTTCAATCTAGGACTGCAAAATAATTTTCAGAATGTTCCACCATTCTAAGTGGGACATAAATTTAGTCAGCAGGAAATTTTTCTTTCTCATGCTAACTACAAAGAAGTCTGCCTGGGCTTGGAAGAAAAAACCTGTATTAAGAGCAAGATCTAGTAAACTTCCTTTTTTCTGTTAAAATTGAAGAACCTTTAGTTTCTGTTTAGCTTACCTTAACATCTATGTTCAACAATTCACTAATACTGCACTTGGCTTAAGATAGAAAACAGGAATAGCTCTGAGAGGTTTTATGAGTGATGGACATGTAGTCTTTGAAGATCTTAAAACTGACTGAAGAATGTAACATAAAATTTAAAGGAAGTTCACATATAAAAGATACAAACAATAGGAAGATAGAGAACACTCACTTAATGTGTAAAAATTTTATTCACTTAGTGAATCCTTTCCTAGAAAAAAATTCATGTAAAATAAATTTCTAACTGAATCATATTTTATACAATTTTCCATTATACAATCAGATTCTCATTCTGATTATATATTAGAAATAACTTAAAAATTAAGCCATTTCAAAATTTAACAAGCCTCTTAAAGTTTATTTCAAGGTAAATAATCAGTTATGAAGCTTCAAGAAAATAAAATTGCCCATAAATAAAATGTGATAGAATTTCTTCCAGAAACTCCTATATGTAATATCTGGCTTTTATGGCTGAATCATAGATCTGTTTCCAATTTCAATATTTTCCAGTAATATTAACACCAGCTGTATAGCTAATGCTAAATCTTGCCAAAAACAATGTGTGTACTCATTTACCTGAATTTAGCAACATGTTACTACATACCTGAGATTGCAATAATGTAACAGGGCCAATTGGTAATTAAAATGAAAATATCTAATAAGCGTGTGAGGATTTAGTACTAACTAGATTTCTGAACCAATGTAAAGATCAGTGGATTAATGTTGACACTTATTTAGACATACACACGCATACATATATGTGATTTAAGGTGTCTATTATATGTGTCTTATATATACATGCATATATTATTTAAATATGTAGTTGCATACAGAGGAATAAAGAAAAATCTAGAATAAGATGGAATTACCTACCAGTAGCTCATGAATGTATTAAAAACAAGATTTGTTTTAGTTTATTGAATCTTTTTAATATTTTTCTTTGTTTATAAACAGGTTGTTTGGTATCAAATCAGTAATTCAAACAGACTGTTCCAGCACTTGGAAGATCATAGCAAACCCGGACCTGTCGTGGTATCACCATGCCAACCCCATAGTCCTGCTGGTGATGTACTACACGCTGGCAACTCTGATCCGCATCTGGCTACAGGAACCCCTAGTAAGGATGAAAGGCTGTCATCATCTTGTCTGCAACGTAACCTGGAAACTCCAAGTGAAATGGTTCATTCCTATCAGCTGCTGACTAATCCATATTATATTCCAAATTAACTGTAGTATTCTGGGTATAGTGATTCAGTTCCGCAGAGAGTACCAAGTAGATACAAATACTGTCAGAACAATAGCTTTGAGAATATCATCACCTGCTGCTGGAAAGCGTAGATGGTGAGGAAGGCTCATTCTTTTTGAGCACTTACCAAGTGCCAGGCCACATGCCTGGCTGTTTATATACATTATCTCATTCAATACACTCTGTAACTCTGAAGAATAGGTATTGTACCCATCATACAGATGAGGACAGTGAAGTTGGAGAGGCAAATGGCCCTGAAATCATACATTCACTGAGCAGCAGAAACCACAAGCAAACCCATGGCTGTCCGCAAAGCTAGGGCCTCAGTGCCTATGCAGCTGGTTGTTATGGTGGCTGGAGTCTTCCAAATCTTCTCAGACCTCTAACTTCTGAGAATGCAGCAGGGTTATCCCAGCTCTCCATTCTCTGTGGGGGCCTGTGGCTCCTGAGTCCCCTGGGGAGGCATGGGGATCAGGACATCTCCGTTGGGTTCACTGAGGACTGGTTTATTCCTGGGGGAGTAGTAAGCATGTGGCCCTTTGGAGGGCAGGCCAGAGAGGCTGGTTGGCTTCTTTCTTTAGTCTTTCAGGAATGGACAACTTCAGTCTGCTTTTAGTCCCTCCCCCAGATGACTGTGGGAAGCTCAGCTGTAAGGTGGCTTACTGGCACACGAGGGAGTCAAGTAGTGTAGGTAAGGGTTGTGACCCCTTCCATCCAGCATGTGCCGGGAGCAGCCTGGCATTGGAAGCCAGCGCTAATGAGCACACTGGCCAGGCTCTGCCATCCAGGCCCCTCCTCTGTATTGCTGCTATCCTGGAGGCCTGGTACAGTTGCCTGCATTTTCTTTTGCTGTGTTCACACCCACAGACTATACCCGCATATTCACTCAGTCAGTCGAACGATAGTCCATCAACAAATATTTACTGAAAGCCAAATGTCTCAGACACTAACCTGGGGGGTGGGCACAGCACATCAACTCACAGGCAAGGCACCACTTGGAATATGTGAACATCTCTGAGAGGAAAAGCAGGCCAGAAGGCGCAGGTGGGGTGCGAGTCAGATAAGACAGTGCAGAGGAACTGGGGCCACGTGTGTCTCCGTCCATCCCCAGAAGCTCCCAGAAGTGCAGACACAGGACTGTGTCCTGTTCTCCCTCCCATGTGACCCCTTCCCCATGACACAGAGGGCCACACAGGCCATCCTGGCTTGCAAGGTTTGCAGGCATCGTCTTTCTGGGGACCCCCTGAGGTCACAGGATGTTGTGTGGGGTATGAGGAATCCCAGTTACATTGTCCTCTCACTCTCTGGCCAGCATTGAGTGTGCCATCCTTTAAAGTGATGGCATGGTGTTTACCTCCCCCGCAAACACACAGATGAATATGGATATGCACATACATATAAATAAAAATGTATACAAAAGAAATTGAAATATATCATGGAAACTATTTCTGAATGATGTCTTGTAAAATTAAGGCATTCAGTTGAGTTCCAGGTGTCCTTGGTGTTCTCCGTGGTGTCTCAGGCAGTCTCGCCGAACGGCAGCCCCTTGTGAACTGGTGCTGTGCATCCCTTCGTAAAGGGTGAAGCCTGGGCTACAAGACCTCAGGCCCTGAGACACTGGCTTCTTTAGCTGCAGGCCACCTGGGGACAAAAGAGGTAGAATTAATAGCAGTATTATAAATTGCAGTGTCTGGAGGAGTATGTGGAGAACAAGGCATGATTCATACTAGCAGCAACATTCAGCTGGTCTGAATTTTAAATGGCCAGACACGGCACTGCTTCATCATGCCAACCACGGAAGGTAGGCGGCAGATTATAGCATCGTTCCAGGTGACCTGGCACAGTTTATGAAAAATGCAGGCCAGGAAATGTGAGTTCTGAAGTAAAAGTCTACAATAGGTGTTTAAGAGAGAGAGAGAAGCAGGTGTCAAAAGTTAAATGTAATACGTGGGCCCCCAGCTGGCAAGCCTGAGCCCTGCCTAGGGCATTTGGGGGGTCCAATGGGTGCCCCTCCTCTCCCCTGGCACCCTGGAACCAGGCATTGGGCAGTAAGACTAGGTCCCCTCCCTCCACTGCAGGGTCAGTGGGGTGCCCATGCCCTTTTTATCAGGACACCTTGGTTGGGGGACCATACTTAACCATCTGGGTGCACTCTGCCTCCTACTCTGGCTTCATTGTCTCTCCTAGACCAATTGTCTGGTGTAGGTCAGTGTTCCAATAGGTAAGGCAACAGTTTCATGCATTAGATATGTTTGCTTACTATTGTGTCTAAGCTCTAAATGATTCTGCCTTTAAAATTTCTGATTAATTAAAGATTGTCTGTGTCTGGGTTATACAGTTAACTGCCCTTTTTTTTAAAGCTCTTTCTCTAAGAACCCTTTGCAGAACTGATTTCTAGAGCAGTTTAGAATATACATTGAGAAGCTGTGGATATTTAATAGAGTATATTCCTATAATTTATGAGACTTAGTGGGAATCCAGAACATTTAATATTGGTGTGCTTAGCATTTACAGGGCAACCTTTGTATCCTTTTTCAAATGTCTTGGTAACATTCCATATGTACACATTAACATTAAAAAATAATCATATTGGGCAAAGATGTAAAGCCTCACTGGTCACCCAGGCTGCTAAGGGAACTGCTCTGGAAAGCAGAGCTGGTCCTGTGGGTTATTCTATCTCAGGTACAGGATGACAGGACCAAGGAAGAGGACAGAGCCCTGACTTGTAGACCCATCCAAATAACGGCCGAGAGGAGGCGGAGCCTGTGGTACGCCACCCATTACCCAACCGACGAGAGAAAAGTAAGCTATTAGGAAAGGAATTTCCACTTCCTAATTTACTTTGCTATTTGTATATTACATTGCTGAATGAGTCATGTCCTGTGCAAACTCAGATTGCTCATAGTTTATAGAATTGTCTGATTTTGAAGTCTTAGTACTAGAGAGCTCTAATCACAGAGGGGAACCCAATGCTTCCACAGGAAACACCATGGTTCCATTATACCCTGCAAAAACATCTTATATTTCAGTGCTTTCTATTTAAATCCTAAAAAGAAAGAATGTTCTTAATTTTTAAAAAATAACTCTGTATTTAAAGTGATCTGTTAGCCCTGGGCAATGAAAGTCTCAGTGTTGAAATGCATTACCGAAAATAATTTCACTTTATTGGGTAACCAGCCACAATAATAACTCAAGTAACCACTTAGAGAAGACCAAAACAATCTATATGAATATGATTAAATATTTCTCACTACTTTGAGGTTGCAGCATAGATTGACAAGTAAAAGTGAGTGACAGTGGGCAATTCATATGACCTTTCGATCATTTATTGTCCACGTTGAACTAAACTTAGTGCTATACTGACTTGTTAAAATGACCCATTTGCAATGTTGTAAGGATAAATACTCTTCTAATTCTTGGATAGGGGTCAGCATTTTGCTTCTTAGCATACTAGAGAACTGAGGAGTAGATTCTCTGACTTATTTAGTGGCAGATGAGTTTCTCTAAGACACAGGATCTTACTCGGAGCATGACTGTCCTATGCTGACAGCGGGAGAAACTGTGGATGGATTGCTGAGGGCAGGGTGGAGCCCAGGATTGCCCTGGGATGTCTGAGGACCTCCAGGGGCCCTTTTCTCTCTCTCATCGCACCAGACAATTACTGGAAAATAGATGAAGTGAGCCCACCACTTTGAGGCAAACAATGGACAGCATTTGTTCCAATGATAAATTTTGAACTTCTGAGTGAAAATCAGAATATTGGAAAACTTGTATTCACTGCTGAGATCCTGAAAATTCCTGATACTTAAGGACTTTTCTGATGAGATCAAGGATGGTAGTAACAGACATATTTTGTAAATATTGGTAATGCAATGTGCCAATATTTGTCAGAGCTGTGTAACTCACCAAGCAGATCATCAACACTTGATATTACAACCTATGGGTAAAAGATCTACTCAAGGTACAACATATATCAGTAGGTTTGATGCAACAGAGTAGGAAAAGGTCACGAATATGGCTTCAGATTCCATAATACAACTAACCTCCAGGTTATTACCACTTGCTAAGTTTGGTGTAATACCAAAGAACACTGTCCACAATGATCTAGATATTGAAATAGTCCTTCTTTTTCCAATAGCATAGCTTAGTGAAACCATATTTTCTTCATATACTTCAACCAAAACAACATGTCACAGAAGATTAAATGCATAGACAGAATGAGAACCCAGCTATCTTCTTTTAAGGCAGATACTGAAAAGATAAACAAGAGCATGAAATAATGCCACTCTTCGCTATTTGTTTTTTAAAATATATATATGCTATTTGAATAAAAGTATTTGTATTGACAATTTTTTAAAATTTTGAATTAATGAATTACTAGTGAATATTTTCTTTTTTATTGGAATAAGGTTGATATAAAATAAAATAAGTAAATATTTTTAAATGCCTCAATTTTAAGTTCTAGTATGATAGATATTGATAAATAGGACCCACATAAATAAAAATTCTTTGGGATTCTCAGTGATTTTTTAAGAATGTAAATAAGTCCTGACCCAAAAATGTAGAGAACCTTTAGAATAATAGTAACAGTAAATGCTTATTAGTTGAGGGGAGCCCAAACCACTTGGCACTAATATAGTTAGAAAGCATAGTCATGTAATATATATTTTGTTGTAGACAACATGCAAATCTTAAAATAATCTCAACCTGAACTACAAATTAATTTTTCTTTATTATGAAACTTCTGTTTCTTGAAGAGGAAATATTTTCAGAATTCTTCAGATGTCTCAAATGGTTTTCAGAGTATAAAGCAAGCTGCTTATTCTATTAGAAGAAAAGACTTAAAAAACAATTTTTGTAGTCATGTGGTTTATAACTGCTTATTTGCTGTTATAATTAAAAGTTAACATCAGGAGCAGGGAAATGGTTATAGAAAACAACAATGTCCAGTTCAATTACTTGTGCCTTTACATTTTGCATGGCAGCATTAACATACTAGCATCCTGCTAGTGTAAGAGAATGGATATGTGTATAGTAAAACTTTATAGATATATGTAAACATTGCCATGCTTTCTGCTTACATATTAACTGCTGTCCTGCATTGCTTTTTGCAGCTTTTGTCCATGACCCAAGATGACTACAAACCATCTGATGTTAGTATATCCTTAGAATTATCATGTATGCTTATATAAGTGATGTAAAAGTGACATAAATGGAATTAGCTACTTTGAATATAGTTTTAATGATCTTTAAAATTGTCATGTTTTTTAATATTCATAAATGTTATGAAATTGATTCAAAAATCAATTATTCTTAAATTGAATACTTTTTTGCACAAATTATGAAATCTGGTTTACTTCTGTTAGAACACTGGCTCATATAATATTAGCTCCAGTATAATCATACAAAATGTATTTAAACTTCTAAAAAGCCACATTGAAGGGTTTTTAAAAAGCATTTTGCTCTGTACGTATGCTTTCTACACAGTCTAAACAGGAAATCTTGCATGTTCATGTAAACACATACATATGTATATGTGCATGTGTATGCTTATACATATGATTCAATGTATAATCTGGAAGCCTCCACTGGCCTTGTCCAGGATGTGCACTTGATACTGAGGACAGATGGCACATTGCATGGTGTTCAGCAGAGGTGTGACAATTTCAGATTTATATTTACTGCAATCACTCCAGAGAATACATTTGGTGAGGGAATGGATACAGTTCATCTTGATAAAGTGGGTAATTGACTAAATTGTTCAGTTTTCAATCAGTTCTTCACTACTGAGCTTCGCCTGCCTAGTGTAAGGGAAGGTGTGTCATACTGGAAGCAGAGCTGCTATCACACAGGTGCACCCTTGCCCCCTCCCCTGGCAGGGCCTGCTGGTGACTGTGAACGGCAATCCTGTGGATTACCACACCATCCACCCCAGTCTCCCCATAGAGAATGGCCCTGCTAAAGCCGACCTGTACTCCACCCCGCAGTACCGATGGGAGCCCTCAGGTGACTCTTCAGGTAAGGAGCCAGCTCTGCATGGCGCGGTTCACCCAGGGCTTTATTTCCACTCAGATGGAAGCTCAGCATCTCTGTCTTTTATTATTTATTGGATTTGGTTCTTTTTTTCTGCCTCTATTTTCCCCCAACATATCGCTCTGTAGTTCTTTCCTTATATACAAATAAGTGACATAATCAGGGCAAACTTTGAAAAATAAAAGGTAAAAAGTTATTTTAAACATGTTAACTTATTTGTAATGTTAAAGCTATGTGTATATGTATGTTTTATCTTTCCATGGCTTGATACCATAATCATGGTCAATAGTTTTGCTGGTTAATGGATGAATGTTTTCACAAAGAGTTCTTTTTTGTCTACTAAAAGGAGAGGGTCAAAACATGTAATAGGACTTCTTTCCCTTTTCTCTCTGCTTTATTATGTTGAAGAAAAGCAGACTGTTAGTAGAGATGACAAATTGTTGGCCTGAGCCTAAGATCTTACCCTTAGACTTGTTTTGTTGGCCCATACAGCATCTTCTAAAACAAATTAAATAGCAATATTTAAAAACTGTAGCTCTGACCTAAAAATGGAAATTTTTGGAACCCTTTGAAGAAAGTTAATATCTGGCAACATTAGTCCCTCACTTCTGACCCACCCACTGTTGTCACCGCCCTGTCGGAGACCATGCTGATCACCAGTTCATAAAGATAGAATTAGCTGGGTTTACTATTGACACACACACAAAAATAAAAATACAAGCAGGAAGCAGCACAATAGCTTCAAAATCATAGTGGATTTTTCTGTTTGTATGGAATTGCAGCTAGAGTTGCATGTTACCCTTCCTTTAGTAAATGGCCAGTAGCTGGTGGCACTGTTGGTATATCACACTTACTCTGACGCCATTTTTTCTTCATCATTCTTCACTGGACTCACTCTAAGGCACTACTCTTCAGAGTTCTTCATCAGAATGTCCTGCAGTTGCCTCTGGCCGTGCATCTACTTAGCAGCATGAATTGTCAGTCACATTTTCCAGCACTCCTCAGTAAGGTCATATCAAGCTCAGTTCCTATACCCTGCTCCTTCCCACAAGCCCCGGCCCCAGGTGGCCCCTGTGGTCTCTGGAGAGCACCAGACCACCAGCACTCGTGTCCCTCAACACTATTACCTATTGCTCAGGAACAAATGAGCTCAAACCTAGTGGCTTCATTAATACAACGTAGTGTCACACAGGTTTCTCTGGGTCAGGAATCAGGTGTGACTAGGCCGGCCGCTTTGGCCCAGGGCCCCTCCTGGGGCTGTAGCCAAGCTGCTGGCTGGGCTGCAGTCTCATCTGCAGGCTCGCCCAGGGAGAATCTGCTTTCCTGCCCACTCACATGACTACTGGCCAGCTTCGAGGTCCTGCTGACCGCTGGCCAGTGGCATCAGTTCCCTGCCATCTGGGCCCCTCCACAGGGCAGGTTATTACAGGGCAGTGGCTTCTCTCCCAACCGGTGAGTGAGAGAATGAGAACAAGTGCCTGGGACAAAAGCCACAGTCTTTTTAAACTTAATCTTGGAAATAATATCCCATCCCTTCTCAAAGATTCTATTTGTTGGAAACACATCAAAGGTCCCTCAACCTTAAGGGGAGAGGATCTCACCAGGCATGGCTGCCAGGAGGTGGGGATTTGGGGGCACCATCATGCACCTTTTAAACTGAAACTTCCTTCCTGTGATGTCTGAGTGCAGGGCTTCATTCCACTCACCAGGTGGAACTTACTAATTTTGTTTTAATTCCAAGGGCTTTCTTAATTGGAAATAATCTCTGAAGTCTTAAATAAAAGGCTATGCTAAAACCATACCTGTGCCACACTGCTTGGGACATTTATATAAAGTCATATATCTGCATAAATAGTCATATAAAATATTTGTCTACCTAGAAAAGAAAGAGGAAGAAGAGGATGAGAATGAAGAATTTGAAGAGGAACAGAGCCACGAGGAAAAGAGGAGCGTTAGAGTTCATGCCATGGTCTCTGTATTCCAGTTCATCATGAAACAGAGCTACATCTGTGCCCTTATCGCTATGATGGTAGGTGTGAGGGCCGGGTGAGCGTGGTCGTGGCCAGCATAGCGTCCTCATCTTCCTGAGTCTTGCCAGATAATGACTGGTTATGTTAATTTTTCATGGGCTTTTTATAGTATAGATTTCAAAATCATGTCCTTCTTCTCAGCCTCCTTTTAAATATCAATACATTTTTCTCAAATTAGCCTATCAAGTCAGACTGTTCCCTATTTTGTCTGTTTAAAAGGACTTACTGGGAGCTTTCCTATGTGGTATTAAAGGTATTCAAAATTAACAAACACTGTGCTTATCTCTTTCAGATAATCAGTTATATTCTCTTAACTTAGATTTGAGTGAGACTTTATTGCATCCTAACTGCACTGATTTTTTTTACCAATGGATATCAAGCAACCAGAGTTCCCCATCAGAGAATTTCTGATTTTGAGTGCTTGATTTATTCATCTTTCTACCCACTTCTAGTTTTATGCCCCATCTCCAGCATCTCAGCTTCAAAAATAGCCCTCGCCTGTAGATAGAAGAGAGTCTAATTTCTGTACTTCTAAAGAACAAACTTTCATGGGAAATATGACATTTTTGAGAAACCTGACACAACACAAAACTCTTCCACATTTTGTCATCAATGCTGAGAGCCTATGGAAACCTTTGATGATTGAAAATGAAAATATGCTGTAACTCTGTGAGGAAAATGTTTGAGTTTCCCAGGCATTTAGCCAAGGTGTATCCCAAATGAACCTGTGTATAACTCAACTTCAGCATCTAGTAAGCACCACTGCAACATCTGGGAGAGGGTTGGGAAAAGAAAACTCCTTGAAATTAAATATGGCTCATTTGGGCAATCACAAACTCTATTGTCTAAATAGTATTAATTCTGTGTGATTTTTGAGATGTCTTTGACATTTTCTATGTACATTAGACCCCCCCCCTGCTTATCTGCAGGAGATGCATTCCCAGGCCCCCAGTGGGTGCCTGAAACCTCAGATAGTACTGAGCACTGTATGTACTGTTTTCTCCTATACATACACACCTGTGATAAACTTTAATTTATAAATAAGGTAAAAAAGATATTAACAACTATAGTTAATAATAAAATAGAATAATTGTAATATCTTGTAATAAAAGTTATGTAAATGTGGTCTCTTAAATACTGTACTACACTCACCCTTCATCTTGTGGCAGTGTGAAATAATAAAATGCCTGCATGATGAGATGAAGTGAGGAGAATGATATAGGCAGTGTGACATAGTGTTAAGCTACTACTGACCTTCTGATGATACATTAAAAGGAGGATCACCTGCCTTCAGACCTCGGTTGACTGCATTTAACTAAAACTGCAGAAAAATGAAACCACAGATAAGGGGAGACTACTGTATCAACCTCTAATATAAACTACAGCAAACTTCTGATTTTAAAAATGTTAAACATATAAATGCAACTTACAATTCTGATTGTGAGTTCAAAAGAGTATACAATTTTTTCCTCTCTCTAAAAATAAACCAGTTAAGTTTGGTCTTTTATATATATATATATATGTGTGTATATATATATATATATATATATACACACATATATATAAAGGAATAGAGCTTTATAAAGAAAAAACTCAAACTTTGAATACATGTTTTGTTACTTAGTAAAAAAAAAATTCATTGTTAAAATGTAAGATAGAAGATCCTTTATCAAAGGTGTGCCCATCTCTGGTACCATTTCCATTGTTTTAACAGAGCCACAGTCAATGTTCCCCAAGTGTCTGCCCTCCAGGTAAGCACCCCACCAGCGGACTTCTAATCACAAAGAGAAGTCCTAGCGAGCTGAGTCTGTTAGAATGATATATGTATTTATTCAAAAATAGAAAGAACAAATATGCCAAACCATCAGACAATGTGGAAAGTGAGCATAGGAAACAATGTAATGCAGAATCTACTCCCAGTTATCACAAATAAAAGGCATATGTGACACAGGCACTGAAAAGGCAAGAAGGTTTTAAAAACCTCATAACTTGTTATTCTCCCTGTTCCATCCTCCCCTTCCCACACAAGCATAGTGCGCAGGGAGGGTAAATGCCTCAAAAGCACTGTTAATGCAAATACATTAAATGTTACCTTAGCTGTGATAAACACTATTTCCAAAAAATAATATTTTCATGAAAATAATTCAGAGTTGATAATAGTTGTCAGCCACTAGCTTAATTTTAAGAAAAGCAATTTTAATTTCCAGTTTATATTTATATGTTTTAAACAACAATTTTAAATAAATTTCCACTTACAAAACTAGTTGTGCTTTAGGACAAACTTGCAGATTGCTAAAAGGAAATACGTTCTTCTATGCTGACTTTATCTTAATACCTACCTACTTTCCAGAAGGAAAAGAAACTTGTAAAACATGTAGGTTTTTACAAATAACTCTTGATAATTCATGATTATTGAGGAATTAATTTCAGTTAACCCCTGAGAAATCTAGAAAATGTTTTCAAAAGGTCTTTTGCAGAAATATGGTATCAGAGATTATGGTAAGAGATGATAGATTTCCTGAAGTTAGTAATATTCATGAGCCTGATTAACAGATTGTTCCGGTAGCTGCCCTTTGAGACACAATTCTGATTCCTTGGATGTTTGATGTGAATAGAAGATGTGTCATTGTCCAAAGGGTCTTACAGCTTTTGAGTCATACCCCTTACAGGGCAGAAGCTGAGACTGGCCTTTAAATTTACTTCGACTTTACTATTTGGGGTTTGGAGAAGCCTAACATACATACAGCTTCCGCATGTAGACTTTCAAATTTCTATCCTGTGTTTCTCCCAGGATAGTCTCAGAGTGCTCTCCACAGCCCAGCTTGTATGCATACCCACAGCTTCTGTTGCTGAGCCCAGCTATGGCCCACACTCCCTCTTAAGGACAGCTGACTCCAAGCCAGTTGGGAAAAGGAAGAGAGAAAGCACTATGGTTGCTTTGCATGCTGCCAAGTAGGACAAAGATGAAAACTTTTGGGGCTGGAGGGAAAGTACTTGTAATCAAGACCCCCTTGCCACTGGCTAGCTCCTGCAGGAAGTTCACAAAAGAAGTTATTCTCAGCAGTATCAGCCTTTGTCTTCTTTCCCCTCCCTGTGCTACAGGGAGAATCTCTCTCCATGATTTTACCACTTTCTCCTAGTCCTAGTTTGGATATTTTTGGCTTTTTCATTTTAGGTACCTTTTAACTTTCTAAGCAGGGGACTATCCATTGTACTGACCGTGATTGTTTTTTCCCTTCCGCTCTCCCTCGAGGCTTGGAGCATCACCTATCACAGCTGGCTGACTTTTGTGCTGTTGATCTGGTCGTGCACTCTGTGGATGATTCGCAACAGAAGGAAGTATGCCATGATCAGCTCTCCTTTCATGGTTGTCTATGGAAATCTACTGCTAATATTACAGTATATATGGAGTTTTGAACTTCCTGAAATTAAAAAAGTCCCAGGATTTTTAGAAAAGAAAGAGCCAGGAGAACTTGCCTCAAAGGTAAGTGAAAATAAGAAAACAGAACATTGATACAAAACAATAATCATAATAACTATGTCCAAGCAAAAACTGTCTAAAATAGGTCCCAAAGAATCACCACTTCATAACATTGAATAGATTTTAAACTATAAAAAAATTATATTGCTCAGAGGTCTCTATAATGTAAGCACAGATAAATATTATACCCTGCTTTTAGATTTAAAGTGATAGTGCTTTTCCCTCAGAGAAAAACATAGTCCAAGTTATTTTCAGTATAAATTGGACTGTCCCATGCACCTTGCCCAAGGCCTTGCACAATTTTGAACTTTCTCCTGGAATTCAGCATGCTTCCTTGCATCCCCAGGAGATGGGAATTAAAAACCAGTGACATTCTGTTGCAATTAAGTGGGTGCCTGACTCTGTATCTAATTTATGTTGAAGGTAAATGATAAGTAGAAAGATGGATCATTAAAAAGACAGTTATTCAAAGTGAAAATGACCCATTCATTTGCTCACTTATTTTTTCATTTATTTGGCAAATATTTATAGAGGCTACTATATACCACAATGAGATATCTCCTCACATCCACTAGGATGACTAGGTTTAAAAAAAAAAAGAAAATGGGGAAGTTGGAACCATCATACACTGCTGTGAGGGATATAAAATGGTGCAGCCACTTTAGAGCAGTCTGTCAGTGCCTCAAAATGTTAAAGATAGGAGGATTATCCTAAGACCCTGCAATTCCACTTCTAGGTATATAAACCCAAGAACACCAAAAACCTATGTCCACACCATAGCTTGTACGTGAATGCTCATAGCAGTGTTATTTCTATGAGGCACAATAAATAGGAACAACCTGAATGCCCGTCACCTGATGACTGGATAAATAAAATGTTGTCTATCCATACAGTGGAATGTTATTGGGTAAAAAAAAGAAATTAAGTACCAATACATGCTACAGCATGAATAAACCTTGAAAGCATTATGCTGAAGAAGATAGTGCATATTACGCACTTTGATTTATGTAAAATATCCAGAATAGGCAATCTGTAGATTCAGAAGGTAAATTAGTGGTTGTCTAAGGCTGAGGGGGATAGAAAATATTAATGTACAAGTGTGGGCACTTAGAATGGTTCCTTGTTCAGCTTTCGGAGATGAATGGGTATAAGAGGGGTTCTATTTTTTGCAATGAAATGTTCTTTTTCCCATCCATGAAGTTCTTCAAAATGTGGAACATTACAGCAACAAGTATTGTAGAAGTGTGTCTCCCTGTCTCAAGTGTGCTGATGTAACAGTCAGGACCGGACGTCACAGCTAGTGCCCAGAGGGAAGCCGATTGCCAAGGCTGATTTCCGGCCCAGATAGAAGGAGTCTGGACTGTCCTGTGCATCTTCCCCCTCACAGTGCAAACGTACTCCTGGCGCTCAGCATGTTTGCTCACATCCCCAGGGAAGGGGATTAAAAGCCAGTAACTTTCAGATGGAATCAAGTGGGCACCGGACTGTCTCAAATAGAAAGATGTCCCTGTGCTCCCTCTGAAATGTAGAGCAAATGTATTTGTTGAAATGTATTTACACTTCAAATGGTGACTAACTCCTTGTCTTGCTCATTCTCTATTTTCAGATACTTTTCACCATTACTTTTTGGCTACTGCTGAGGCAGCACCTCACAGAGCAAAAAGCTCTTCAAGAAAAGGAAGCTCTTCTATCTGAGGTCAAAATTGGAAGTCAAGACAATGAAGAAAAAGGTGAATTAATGTGTACAGTGTGTGACTAGAAATTTTTGTGCTCGACAAAATCACAAATAGCTGCCCAACATATGTCAGAAAGCTTCAGAATAGAGAGAAGCCAAACGTTAACTTGTCTCTATAAAGAACAGGATGATAGTATGTTTACCTAAGATTCAGAGTACATGTGAGCTCACGGAATTTTTGAAAATGTTATATTATTTGATCCTCATGAAATTGATTCCCACTTACAGAAAGAGAAAACTAAGGCTCAGAGAAGCTAAAATTATTTCTCTAAATTCACACTTTTAGAACCATGAAACAATCAGAATTTGAAATTGATAACATAGTTTTGATTTGTGTTACTGTTGACTACTACATGGATAGTCCTGCCTTATCCATGGAGGATATGTTTCTAGACCCTCAGTGGATGCCTGAAGCTGTGGATAGTACCAAACATTAAATATACTGTTTTCTCCTATACATAATGTCTATGATAAAGTTTAATTTACAAATTAGACACAGTAAGAAATTAACAACTGATTATACAGAACGATTATAATGATTTACTATACTAAAAGTTATATGAATGTGAAGTTAATCTCTCTCAAAATGTGTTATTGCACTGCACTCACCCTTCTGCTTGTGGTGCTGTGAGATGATAAAATGCCTATGTTATAAGATGAAGTGAGGTGAATGACACAGGCATTGTAATTCAAATTAATAATTGTAGCATTGGGCTGCTATTGACCTTGCACCCATATGTCAGGAGGGTCATCTGCTTCCAGACAATGGTTGGCCATGGGAAATGAAACTGCAGAAAAGGGTAGACTCCTGTGTTTATCTTTCTAGATCCCAAAGTACTTAAATTATCATTGGATATCAGTGTTATATGAAATAGGTGTCATAAAAAGATGAGTGTAAAATATTGCCAAATTTCTTTCTTTTAAACTATATATCAGGAAGGTTATGAAAATTGATTATGACTAGTTGTAAATGTAGTCTCAAATCATTCAAATCATATAGTAACACATAAAATAAACTCTTCCATATCCCAAATACAGTACCTGATCAACATGTGGCTCAGGTCAGGGCACCAGCTATGGATAATAGCCCAATCTTTTATTTTAAAGATGACGAGCAAGCTATACAAATGGAAGGAGAGGCCGAAGAAAAGGAGGAAGAAGAGGAAGCAAAGGCAGAGGAGCAAGAGAGAAAGAAGGAACTGGAGGAAGAGGAACAGGAAGACGATGACCAGGATGTGATGGAAGTGCTGGGCAACTTGGTGGTAGCCATGTTCATTAAGTACTGGATCTACGTCTGTGGGGGAATGTTCTTCTTTGTCAGCTTCGAGGGTAAAATTGTGATGTACAAAATCATCTACATGGTGCTCTTTCTCTTCTGTGTGGCCTTGTATCAGGTAGGTGAACAATTGTCTTCTAGGTTTTAATCCTCACATTTGTCCCGGAAATATCTGTGAGCTTCCTTTGATGAGATTCTAAATTGCTGTGATCCTGTGAACATACCATATAAAGTGATGGATGAGATTAAGAAATTACATAGTAACAACCCAAAAATGGCAAATGATGATTGTCAGCTTATTCATTATTTTAAAATTGTAGGTTCTTAAAAAGTAAAAGAAAAAAAGCTCTTGAGGTTTTCAGAAATTCTTGAATAAAAAAAAGAAGCCTTGCAAAATTAGATTAATTTTTGAATTATAATTTAAGAACAGTGGCTGGATCATCTAAAATACTCGTTCATACCCAGTTCAGTTGTGTTTCAGACTTTGGAACCAGAAAACTGTGTATGTGTGTATATACATATCTACATCGCATTAAACTGTTTTAGTATTTTGTTAAGTAGAATTTATAATAGAAAAGGTTATGTTGAAATGAATTAGCCTCCCCACAAATTCAATTTTAACTGATACAGAATTTTAACCCAATGGTAGAAACAAGCACAACAGTCAAATATTCTTGCAGGCAACCAACCAAACAACACAACAACAAAAATATGTGGAAATAAAAGTTTGTTTAACTGAAATGAATGAATTTCTCTAATGAATATGCACAGGCTTATAATAGAGATATATATCTTCTCTGTGGTGATTCCACATTTTTATTCATATACTACTACTCGAATGTTAAAGCTGAGGCAGTTTTCTCCCAGCAAGAATCCATGCTGACAGCAGCACCTACTATTACCGTTCTGTGAATGCCTGCTGCAAACCAGACATGTGCCAAGAGTCTTACAAATATTATTGCATCCTCTTAACAGCTTAAACAGTTCTTAACAACTTAACAATTCAAAGTACATACGTGTGGGAGTGGAAGCTGGAGCTCAGTATGGTCCAGCAATTTGTCCATAGACACAGTTAGTGACTTCCATTCCAGTCTAGATCCATCCAACTCCATAGGGAGCAAAACCTCAAATACGAAACATGAAATAGACTTTATTTTTCAAGTATTTGTAAATATCACCACCTGCCAAAAAAACACAAATATTTTTGTGAATTTTCCTATAACCAATTTATTTTCTTGTTTGTTTTTCCACATCTGATTCACAGGTGCACTATGAATGGTGGAGGCGAATTCTGAAATACTTTTGGATGTCTGTGGTTATTTACACTATGTTGGTGCTTATCTTTATATACACATATCAGTTTGAAAACTTTCCAGGCCTGTGGCAAAATATGACTGGATTGAAAAAAGAAAAGTAAGCAATTCTGGCATAAGATGGTATGTGGGGTTCTGGCATAACAACCAGGATGAAGACTTAAATGCATATTTTTCAAAACATTTTATTATGGAAGATTCTAGTAAAGCATGACATCTTCAATGTCTATAAGATCCTGGAGCACAGGATTCATGTCTTAGTCATTTTATGTTCTCTCTGTCTAACTCTGACCTTGGCTCATAGTAGATACTCAAAGCATACTGACTGAGAAGGGAATTTTCAGCCCTATTTTAATTAAATGACTTTTTCTAATGTCACTTTCACTTCAAACATACCTGCTTAGTGTTTTGCCAGTTACACTTCGTGCTTTCCAAATTGGAGTCAGTGCTTCCATTCTTCATAGATTCATGGACTTGCAATATAAAGGAGCAGTCCCTCCTCATTTGTGCAGCTGGAGCTAAGGTTCTAAGGCCCTTAGTTGGTGCCATAGAAGAAATTTCCGTGAGCGCTAATAGACTAGTGATAATAATTTTTCCTGTGCATTCAGTAGATCAGACCCTACCCTTTTCTAATTTGCTTCTATAAACTTCTGGAATTAGTTTAGAAATCCAACCAAAACTGGGCATAGAATTGAATATATTGAAATGGTTAGGAGAAAATCTAAAAAGGTAAGGATCACCATTTCACTAGACATCCTTAATGTTCATTCAACAAATGTTTATCAAATGCCTCCCTTGTGCCAGACACTGACTGTGCCTGAGGCTATACCAGGAATCAAGACAGAGTCTAACACTGTGGGGTTTTTATTCAAGTTGTCAAAGAGACAAACAAAAATCTACTTAATGTGCCCATAAATTCATTACAAACTGTAACAAGTCTGTAAAAGAAACAGGCAGAGGTGATGAATAATGGAGACTGCTAGGCATAAATGGAATGCTCAGGCCAGGCCTCACTAAGGAGGTGTCATTTTAAAATCCACCTGAAGGATAAGAAGGAGGTTTCTTAAGAAAAGTGTGTGAGTCAGGGAAAAGAATGCATGAAAGCATCCCAGGCAAAGAACAGCAAATGCAAAGGCCCTGTGGCAGGACAGAATTGGGCACAGATGAGGAACTGAAGGGAGTGTCACTCATGGGTAGCAAGGGGGAGAATGAAGGGGGAGTTTAGCCCAGTACCTGGTGTGTCTGCTGTGTAGGTAGTGGTGGCTGGTATTTTATTCTTATTCTTGGTGAAGTTTTTTAGTCTTGAAAGAACCCTCAACTGGTGGAGAAAAAGTGATGTATTGAGAGGCCCAAATAGAAACAACTGGACTGGTTAACAGGCAACAGCCACGGTCCTGTGAGAAATGATGGTGGAGGTGGACAGATTCAAAAGGATTTGTAGGTGGAAGAAAATGTGGATGATTGAGATATGCCAGCAAAGAACAAATCAAGGAAGACTTTCTGATTTCAGAATTTTGCACAGGGCAGATGGTTGTGCTGTGGAAGACAAGCAAGGAGAGAGGGAAGTGCTGGACAGCTGGGCTAAGGAAAATTGGGAAGTCAAAAAGATAGTTTTAAGAATAAGGGATATAACTGTGAAATGACCAATTTCCAGTAGACATTTGAGTGTGAGAGTCCACAGGAGATGTCTGAGGTGTAAATGCTCATTTGAGTCATTGGTGTAGACACGGTATGTAATCCCTGGTCTGGGTGAGATTACGTGAAAGGAAAGCCAACACTGAGTCCTGGGGTATTTCTGACTCTGGAGGGACAAGGGAAAAGGAGATAGTGACAGAACAGAATCCAGGACAAGGAGGTGGCATCAAGACCAGGACTGGTTCATGAAGGTCTAGAAGGCGGAATTAAAGATAGAGAAGCAGCTGCTGAACTGGTGATATCAAGGTTGTTGCTGACCTCTGTAAAAGCAGGTTGGTTGGCTTGGTGGAAACAAAAGGCAAAGCAGAATGTGTGTGAGAGAAGGACGCAGTAAATGGCGTAAATGAGGAGCAAAGAACACTGTGATGTAAATTTTAGTGAAAAAAATGCATCTTCACTGCCTAAGAAGGGTTCTTGCTTTTCGTTTTGTTTTGTTTTGCAGACTTGAAGATCTTGGCTTAAAGCAGTTTACTGTGGCTGAGCTATTCACTCGTATATTCATTCCAACCTCCTTTCTGCTGGTGTGCATTTTACACCTTCACTATTTCCATGACCGGTTCCTTGAACTGACAGACCTGAAGTCCATTCCCAGTAAGGAAGACAGCGCCATCTACAGGTGAGCGGGCGCAAGAAGCACATGCCTCCTGCTCCTGTTGCCAGGAAGGCGACCTCGATTCCCCACCTTCAGCTGGCCACCTTCCAGAAAGCCAGTAATCTTAGTTCCAACCTTGACCTTTCCATGCGTGTAAACCTGTGAGTGAAAAAATATGGGAAACAAAATGTGGAAAAACTGATGATACTTTCTGAAACAATGGTAGTGAAGGATGATTGGTGAATGCAAAGTGATCTTGATAGTCATGCGAGTAGATTCAGAGTTCAGAAAAAATGCTTTGGAGTTGGTGATGTATTTTGTGTGTAGGCTAGTGATGTGTTTTTAGAATAGTTACAGAGTCGGCGTAATTCACCGGATGAATTTTCTATTATTTCTATTATACTGCTAATAACCAGTAAAGAAGTCACAGTGAGCGAGAGTGCACTAAACGCTGGTGTGCAGCGTTTTGGAAATGAAGACCCACAGCCAGAAGAAGGCAACCTGCAATCTGCTAGTAACTAGAATAGCATTTAAAAAGAGAAGGTGAAGACAATATTTTCCTTTATCAGTGCTCTGTTGTCTTCTCAATAAATATACATTGTTTACAAGTAACAGATGGCATATTGCTCTCCCTGCCCATGTGTGTTGAAACCACAATGGATTATGGCAAATCTTACAGTCTGTTCCATCACAGAGACATTACAAGCATTCTTCTAATGAACATTAATACTGACTTTCTTCTGCTTCATATTTAGCCTATGATTCAGTTCCTGGAAAAACACTTGCTAAGCAACTAAGGAAGCAAAGGCACACAGATGCTGCCTCTGATGTCTCTTTAGCTCTTCTGACTTCCCCTTAACTCTTTCTCAAGGGAAAAAAATGAGTACATCAAAAGACTATGAAGTAGTATTTCATCATGCGGTTTATGAAATACCAAACTTTCAATTATCTGCTGCTGGAGGGAATGGAATTATGGATAACTTCAAAATATTTTTATCTAATGATAAAAAATGTTTTATAATATTTATCTATTTATTTATGACCAGCAGATTTATTTTCCTTATTGTATTTTGTTGAACCTAAGATTCCAATTAGTTTTCATTTTTAGTATGGTCCAGATGATTGTCAGTGTGTCGATGACACACTTTCTTGTCACCGTCAATAATCAAGTTGAGCTAAAAGCTATCTTTAGTTTGTTGGGAGAAGAAATCACCCTAAGAAATCTAAAAGATTAAAAGTTTACAAACACAGTAACACAGTGCCTGCATAGAAAAGCAAAGTCATCAATAATTAGAAAAAATGTATTAAATAACATGCTTTATTTAATTGTACACCTCATCATTTTTTCAAAAATCATTTTCAATATCAAGGAGAATCTTTTCATTAGCAGAGTATATTTGTTTCTGCATAAAAGAAATGTAATTATTGATAATTATTAATGATACTTATAAATTTTTTTCTTCTGAATATCTTTCTTCCCTTGAATCTTTATTTCTTTCTTATTTAAAGTTCTTCCAATACACAGGAGCTTTTTCTTGTCATTTTACTTATTATCATATATCTGAATCCTCTGTCACAATCAAGTAGATACAGGTTATAGTTTTTCCAGGTAAATAGAAAGGAACATATTTTTTAGGCAATTTTTATAGAAAATTTATAGAGAAAAAAGTTTTGTAGAAGCAAAGATTTTACCAGCCTAAAGAATCAGAATTTTGAGATGTATGGTATATAAAAATTGAATTTGTTCCACTGAGCTTCTTTTAAGTATAAAGGCCACTGTTTAATTGTGTAGATTTGGGGAAGGACTGCAGTCTTATGTCAAGATGCATTCCTATTTCTTCAGCTGCTGCATTCACAGCCCTTACCCTCCTACCATGGCAAGAAAAGAAGATCTCACTCATCTGTAGCAATTTGAGGTCATTGCTTGCCTTCCTCATGGTTGAGGTTCAGCTCTGAGCACTTCTTTAGCAATAAATTTTCAAAGAAAATATGAAAATGGGTGAGGAGAGACTATATAATGTGTAAGCTACCTGAGGAGTTTAAGAACGAGGAATTTCATTTTTAGTTTTGTGAAAAACAGTTTTCTAGAACCTTAACGAGTTCAAAGGACTCACTCAAGATGGGTGTTTTGGGATTTCATGCATGAGTTTAATATAAAACACCCAAATTTTAGTAGATACTTTACAAAAAATGACCCATAAATCAAGAATAATCAATTCGTTGTATTCCTTAACTTGATTCCAATACTGTTGTTTCTATATATATCCAACTGTTCTTTTTGTATTTTTTCCACTGTTAGTGTGTGCTATATATATGTACACATAGGTAGTGTAAGCAATGTCACTTGTGTCTGAAACAAAATTTATTGTGTTTAGCTTTATGGAGTTTATCAAGTTAGCATTATGGGAAAAGTTTATGATATGCATAGGAAGAAACTATTATTATTTCTAAGTGAGCATTCTCAGGAATATCATTTCACTTTTATATTGATAAAATATGTAACGTAATAAAATTATTATATGTAATTCCAAACAGTGCATTAAGTATCCATTACTACTTTAAAATATCCATCACTGCAATTTGTCCATAATTTGTTTGAGAAAGTATTGTGATGCATATAGAAATAAAATGACTTTTTTACTTCAGTTTTAGAAAAACTTAGAGAACAATATGTTGACTATGACTATTTGTAGTAGCATTTTTTTTTCATTCTGGGGAAGGAGCAAGAATTAATCTTTTAAATTGAATTTAGTTTAATAAAGGTACTCTGAAAATTAAAACATCATGAATTTTTAATGAAGTGTGCAAGGTAGGGAGGGATGAAATGAATGGAGACACTTGTTGTCCTCAAGCATTTTTCCTGAATATGTCTAATTTCATGTGGCTGCTGAATCTTGCTGCCTAGGCTCTTCCTCAGTGCATGAAATGTATTGATAATGACACACCTGATGATGTAAATGATAAGACAGTCTACTTCATTCATCTCTGTCTAACAATCTCCTCTTTCTCTCTCCAACCTGTCTCCCCATTGCCACCCCATGCAACCCTGTGCTTCCATCTCTCATCTCGTAGCCATGCCAAAGTCAATGGGCGCGTATATCTAATAATAAATAGGTGGGTACTTCAATGTTTTCTCTCCTGTTTTTCCTTTTCTAAAAATGGTCTCTTGGTGTGCTAAACATTTACTGTTTTGTAAATGCAAAATTATGTCAACAGATAGTGGACGATGGTCTTCAGGTATGCTCATGGATATATTTTGCAAACCAAACCGTGTGGTGTTTATACTGAATGGTGCTACCAAGTGGATTTGGAGGTTGCTGGGGGTCTTCAGCTGGTGCTCAGCCTTTGGTCTTGGTTCAAACATCTTCCCCATTAATTTCATTCTTTGGTAGAATTAGTTCAAGGTTTGCCTAAGAGCTCATCTCCCTCTTGAACACATAACTGAGAGCTCAGCTCAAGAACCACCTCCTCCACAAACCTGCCCATAAATGCCAACTTCCCTGCTAAGAGTAATCTGCCCTTCCTCTGAATTCTGTAGCACTGTATCATTGCTGCCTCCTGACACTGCCTTTCAGCTCTCTACAGCCTGCTTGTCTTATCTCCCTTGCCGGAGGCATCAGCTCCTCAGCCTGGTAGCCTACTACCTACCTTAGGGCCTTGTCCATTAGTTGACTCTCAAGATATATTTCTGGAATGAAATAATAGTCATAACAATACATGAGTAAAAGAAAAATAAAGCATCACTTCCTTTAAAACCTCTACTTGAAAGATCAGCATACTAGAGAACAGTATTTTACATCAGAAAATTTCGAAATATATTTGCGGACCACAAAAGATGCACGGGTGGGCACTGGGACATGGCCCTTCTCTAGATGCAGACCACCCAGCTGGGGAGATAAGACATGCAAATGACCACACGTAATAAAGGGACGCTTTGATAAATGTTGTGTGTAGAGTGATCCTCAAGTGCCCTCAGAGTACAGAGAAAAGATCCTTTGGGATCTAATTTACTAAAACTATTCTGACTTTATTAAGTAGATGAGTTAAAACATCAGGTCCTATAATTTCATGTCATTAGCAATAAAGCCAGTAGTTTATGTTATAGAAACATGCATTTTCAATAAGTCAAATTAACAAAATAACTCCTTGAAAGATTTGTTGGCTTTCTACTCCATTCTCTTTTCTTGTAAGTCAAATCCTAAGGCTGGCAACCAAATAGTGAACCCTAGGAGGCAGAACCTCTAGACCGCAGTGGGGGCCATTAGCGTATCACAGCGCCAGTCACTGAAGAAGGAAGAATAAGGACCAGTTTTATTGCCGCCTAAGAGAAAAGTCAACCTCAGTTTTTTAGCTGATAGGCAGAGAAGTAAGATGGAGACTCTAGCTGGAAATCTTGAGCAACTATTTATATCATCCCTCCCAATATAAGGAACTTCTCTCTCTCCCCCTCTTTTCTCCTCTCGCCCCCTCTCTTCTGCTTCTCATAAAGGGTTCACCATTTGATTTGTAAGGAGACGGGACACCAAAGATGGCAGGAGAGGGTCTGACAGGCTCCACAGCAGAGGCTGGTGCAAGTTTTGGTCCCCAGTGTCCCAAACTCCTGGGAGAAAGCCTCTGACCATTAACTCAAGTCACAAGGCCAATGAATTCACTCAGGAATTCTTAGAATGATCAAGATTTAATTGTCTAAAATGATTTAAAACTTCAAGTGTTCCACCATCAGCACTAACTTCTTCAAAGCGGTATCTCTTATTTTTGTCTGAATGTTAACGTGTTAAGGCCAGAGTTCTACTCCAGGAAAATGTTACCCAGCAAACTCATCCCTTACTGAGCAACATGTGTTTCTAAAAGGCTGTATGTAAAGTGCGTTCAGTTTTGAATGGGGCCTACTCTTAATTGTAATGATAAGATGAATCCTTTTATTAAGTAAATAAGCTTTCTTTCTCCATAATTGATTTCCTTATGCTTAATGTTTTTTTATAAGGAAAAATATGTTAGAACATGTGAGTTCTGGATGAAAAAGGGACATACCTACATTCAGCTTCTGTCTAAAATTTAGACAGGCCCTTACAAGGTGTGAGGTAGGGGTATGTTGAGGACAGTGGGTGACTGATGCAATTTTGATGATGTGAATAATTGTGGGGAAGTTTCAATTGAAATTGTAAACAGAATGAATTAGAATATTTTAACGGAATGAATTAGAATATTTTAACGGGAGTAGAGTAAAGGTTATTTCTTCCACATATACAGAAATAGTCACTGCATCCAATCCTGCCTGTTAGATTTTTTAGGGGTTATTACCATGTATATATTTAAGATGTGATATTAAATTTATAAATCAATTGCTTATCTGTGAATATGGGCTTCTAAAATTGCTGATAAGTTCTAGAAAGTAATTTTAAACAGTATAAATATTCTATTTAAATATTACTTATAAACACTACAAATTTTCAAGGCATCTTTATTTCCTAACAGTCTAATGAATGAGATGAGTGCAGTTTCACATTAGCAAGTGTTCCACATTAAATAAGTTATGAATAAATGGAATTTAGACTAAGGAGATTTTACAATGGTAAAATTTCCATTTTCTTTAATAGAAACTACCTTAGTATGTGGCTTTTCAAAGTCAATTCCTAATACAAAACTAACCTTTTCAACTCTGTGTGTAACAATTAGTTGCCTCGCAGGTGCGTAGAATTCATTCCACAAACAAATCACAGTGTGTATCAAGCACAAGACATTTCCAAGGCAGGGGAGTGGAGAAAGACTGGATTTCTGCCCTCAAGGGGCAGTCCCCAGAACCACAATTAGAAAACAACTATGTAGATACAAATAAAGAAATGCACACATCAAGGACAGTACAAAGCCATGGAAGCATGGAAGAAAGAGTGGGTGAAAAAACAAACAGAATATATCTGCTCTGTGATAATGCAAAAGGAGAGGGAGTCAGCGAGAGGACTGAAGCTTAGTGCCTGGTCATAATAAAAGCAAGGCGAGGACGCTACTGATACGTGAACAAAGATGCAAAGAGAAGAAAACAGATTCCCTCAAGGCAGGACATGCAGACCGGTGGGATTTAAGCAAGTGGAGTGGGGGTTTCTCTGAGAATCCAGCTCACTACCAGTCTCTCTGGAGTCCCAAAGAGCAGCTTCTTCATGGGATGATTAGAGAACTTGGCTGCAGTGATCAGCCAAGAATAACGAGTACTAAAGTTCCTTAGCCAGAGGGTTCAGGGGACAGCAGCCTACCCTCTTGGAAGGCCCATGGGAGGCGATGGGCAGAATGTTGTGGAAGGCGAATGCAGAGAATATTGGAGACAGATTCCCCAGGAAGACACATGTGCTCTTCTTCTGAAAGGCCATTTTAATACAGAAGTTATGTTAAAGAATGTGCTGTTGACAGAATTATAGTACAGGTTTTATCACCTTCCCCAGCATCCGGCATCGGGTGGTCCCGTGCAAGGCATGTTTCTAATTCTAGCTCTTCTTTAGCATGAATGTGTAATACAGATGATCAAAACTGTGTATGACAATCTATCATTAGCAGATGGGTTCCTTGCTTTAAAAACATTCTTGTGCTAAGTACTGTATTAAGCGCTTAACAGAAATCAGAATTTTCACAAAATTCTGGGAAGCAGGCACTGTTACTCCATTTTATAGATCAGCAAACTGAGACTTAAAGCAGAGTAAGGAGTTTTGCCAAGTCACCTAACTAGTCAGTTGTCTAGCAGAGGCTTGAAATAGTCTTTCTGATTCTTTCAACATTATTCTGTATCACCTCTCAAAAAAATGCTTTTAACATTTCTGTTATTGCCTCCAAAAAAGTGCTATTATACAAATGAAAAAATGATAGAATTCACGTGGTTGTCTTTTAAAAATACAATATTCTGATCATGCATTGAAAATATTTTCATGACACACATTTTACGCACACAGATTTTCTAAGTGAAATTTCTCAGTTAACCAGCTACTAGGCTAGCAAATAACAGCCTAATCCATGTTTTCCCTTTTCTCTTTGTGATCCATTAACAAGCTGGTGGCGTGAGACTTCCCGACAGGGCATCTGGGGTTATGTCAGTGGAAACCAGCAGACTTAGAAAAATTCACTTCTCCTCTCTCCCCAGCATTATCTAGTCCCATATCTCTTGCAGACAAAGTCACTTTACAAAAGGTGACTCTAGTTACTTCCGAAAAGTTGACTGTAGGGTTTTTTCATTGATTCCTTCATTCAATAATCTCCTCTCAGCATGCCCACCAATGGCACAGTGCCCTGGGGGCCTGTTTGCTGGGGGACTTTTTGTTTTGTAGCCATAATAGTAGCTTCAGAGACAACCTCATCTCTGTGAGTTTCATTCTATAAATAGCATGGATTATTGACAAGTTGTTTTTCTGCCAATTTTAAGTCATAGCAGTGATGTAGATGTTAGACATGCACTCTGAGAAGGTCACGCATCCACACTAAAATTAACCAAACTCCTGTCATGATGAAACTTGTCTTCTTACATTAAAAAAATCCCCTGGCAATGCTGAAGAGAACATACACTGACAATTGAGTGACACCTAACCGCTTTTACTTAATTACCAGTTAATAGGTAGGGTCCTGACAAAGCAGGGCCAGCCACACATGAGATCTGATACCCTGAGCTGTGACACGCAGTCCTGGGGTGGAAGATACAGTAATGCAGTTTCACAATTGGAGGGCTTTCCCCAAGACAGGAAGGTGGAATGACTGGTTTTAGAAAATTAGAAAGGTTTTATGTCAGCATAATTCCTTCCACCAATGTCGAGCTGTCCTCAGAACATTTCTTTCTTCATTCAATTAACTATTTGTTTCTGGTATTCTGTAATTCACCTGTTACAAGCAATTACTTTTGAATGATAACCTCTCTAAAGGTCTAAGGATAGTGCAGATGCATTTTAACAGTTATCCAGCATCATAGGTGTGGTTCAAGTAAGAACCAATGAGCCGCAAGTAAGCTTAGATTTTTATCTAGCCAAACTTCCTCATTTTATTGAAAATGAAGTTAGATAACTTACTCAGAGCCTATGATTATACAGCTAGAATAGCAGTACAATTACCTATCCTCTTACAACTAAACTGAAATGCATAGTTTAGTTATTACAAGTGGAGAAGACTAGCAGTATTTCCTGGAGACCCTTTCCTGACATCTACTGTATGGCCCACAAATGTTCCTTCAAACATCCATTTGACTATAATAAAATGGTACACTTTTTAAAACTTCAGGAGAAAATTCATACTTGTTACTGTCCACTGTGAGATGTGCTGTAAGGCTCTAAGGTGCAGCCCAGGCTCCATGAAACTGTGTCCCTGTCCCTCCCTCAGCTCCCACACACCAGCTAGTCCAGCAGCTGACCCCAGTGCCTACAGACAGGGACATGGTGAAGACTTCTGAGTCCTGGAAGCATTGAGCTTCCACCGCATATGAATTAGATGATAACAGAGTGGGCTGCATCTATGCAAAGGTTACACAAGATAGAAGGTTTTCAAACCTATTTAAAATGTGAATGACTTGATTCTTGGATGGTTGCTGCATTACAAAAAAGCATGACATGATTTGCCTCCTAGTCTATTCTCTCCTTTACCACCTGCAATCCTGTCCACTCTCCAATCAGTTGCAAGTGTAAGGCTCACAGCAGGAGCACGCTACTGACGCCGTCCTGGCATGCTTTGGCACTAGGACGTACTGCACCCAGCATACAGGAATGCAATCGTGGATAATCTGTAGCATGATATGTGATCTCTGACAGTCCTTATAATTCTTCTGTTCTCATCTCCTTTTTTTTCCTTTCTATTTCAATTACTTTGAGCAGCATCAAGAAAAAATTACCAATCCACCAAAATGAGTAAGTCCCCCTGTGAAGTCATGAAATGCTAGCTCTACATGATGCCATTTCATGCTTCTGCATCCTAAATTCTGACCATTTTCTCCTCCGGGAAAAATGTCAAGTTTAGGTGTCAAGAGCTCTCATTACTGACTAGTCACCAGAACCTGATTTGGAAAAGCTAACAAAACCTGAGTTTACAGTCTGTCTTTGGAAAGAGCTTATAAAACAAAAGTGACCAGACACTGACAACCCCGCATTGCAAGGCCTGCGTGCGCGCACTGACTCTCACGCTGTTCTCCTTTCACTTGCCCCTCACTCCGTCTCTCCCGGCACCCTCTCCTCCTCTGACGTGGCTGCTGTCTGCCCACAGACTGGCCCACCCTGAAGGCAGCCTTCCGGACCTCGCCATGATGAATCTGACGGCCAGCCTGGACAAGCCGGACTTGAAGTTGGTTGAGCCTGGTGAGGAAACAGCAGAGGGAGGCCCTGAGAAAGCGGAGAAGGGTGAGCTTGAGAGAGACAGCGAGGAGGACGAGGACGAGGAAGAGGAAGAGGAGGGGGAGCCCTCAGGTAACCCGCCCAGGCCAGGAGCTGCTCAGGAGCCGCTGGCTCATAAGCTGCAGGAAATGCTGGTTCACTGTGCGGGGGCATACATTTGACCCAGTCAGTGAAATACAAACTGGGGTGTGTTTCTTTTTTGGGTGCTACCGTTATAACACTTCTGTACCGATTGCTCCAATAATTTCCTTGTAATTCTAACTTTGAAGAAGAGAGCACATGACTGGTTGTCAACTACTGGTCCCCCAGTGGTGATCCTGGCAAGAGACAGTGGGAAGCCTGGGCAGAGACCCTCCCAGTAGAGGAAGAAGCAGGCAGCTGTGTGGAATCTGTGAAAGTTCTAGACCTGACCTTTTCAAATTCTTAGGGAAACCATGCTGAGGCTTTTCCAGGAAACTGATCATTAAGAATATATTTGTAATTCCAAAGTTTCAGGCCATGGGAGCCAGAGGATAAAATGAGCAGTTGGGTAATTACTGTTTCGAGCCAACTCCTCGAGGTGTTTCTGTTGTCACTGTGACTTTCTGCTTTTCCAGCTTCGATTCTTCAGGCATTTCTCCCCTGTTTTTCTTCATAGACTTGAACTGGTGTTTCCGTAGGGCCGGGTGAGAACTGAGTAGCTTTAGTGACCAGGATGGAGAAGATAAAAAGCGGAGAGTGTAATTTATTAAGTCCCATCCCAGGTAGTGTGGGAGGAACCAGCGAGGGCAGTGCAAGGCTAGCTGGAAGGTGGCGCCCTGGGGCTGTGGCGCTAAGATGCTGCCCTTTCCTTTGCGGGTGTTCCGTGCTTTAGAGGAGAAAAGGGGAAAGCAGCATGAGGTAAATTCTTCCGAAAGGCAGCCTCCCTGCGAACTGGGTCCCCTTCACCCACTCATCTCAGGGACTCTAGGAGAGGCCCAGAAATGCCCTTTCCATATCTGAGCAATGTGTGTTCCTCAGTGTGACAGAGAACCAAGCCCCGGGGACCAAGGACTCACGACTAGACTTGGGGTCTGCTACGCTAAGACAGGTTTTAAGCTTTACTAATAGGATCTCACCAAAAATTGGACCACATCTTGTTCTTGCACTCCTGCAGCACCTGTACCTTGTGCTCAGTCATGACCTAAATTTTATACTGTTTTCTGAGTTACTGTAAATAAGCATTTTCCACAATAATGCAACCTTACTGAAACTTGCAGAACCAAGCACAGTAACTGTTACAATCACCCAGGCCATGGGTTGGGAGGATTTAAAAAGACACTCTGGTCTTACCATCTGCCTGGCTCATGAGCTCTGGTCTACACCTGTGGTGATGTGCTGACTCCACCAGACAGACTGGCCAGCACAGTACTTTGACAGAGGCATGACCCCAGGCTGCAGAATGTTACTCCCTAGCACAAGGTGGAAAGAAGAAAATGACTAATTTGATTAGAAATTTTGATTAGAATGAGCCCAACCCCATTTTGGGAACTGAGACTGGGCGGTTCAGACACTTGGAGTCTGCTTTCAGCTGCAACGGGGCACAGGCTCTTCTGCCCGTGGCTGCACGCTGCCTGGCATGCTCTTCTGGGGCAACTGGCAAGCTGTATCCCTTCCGAGTGAAGCCCTGGGAAGGAGGCTGGCACTTACAGCCACATTGTTTTGGCAAGAAAAATGTCATTTAGCTGGAGATCAGTTACTTAACGTTCCCAGAAAATTAGGGAATTATAGCTCAACTTTAAGAGTAAATAAGGTCCAAGCGCTTCACACTAATCTAAAGAAACAATGGATAAAAGTGAACTCGTCCCTCCAAGTCTTGATACATGATGTCTGAGTTGTCACCATGACGTAGAATTCTCACACCACTCCTCCTCCAATTTTGGTACTCTTAGAATGCGTCCTCTACTGTTATTTTGCAGTGTCTCATTCCAATCTGAATGTTGTAAGATATGCTTAAAGTAATGATGCAAAAAGAAGAAACTTTTTTATGCTCTTGGGTGAATTTACTCTCTTGCAGATTTAAGGAACAAATGGCATCTGGTGATTGACCGCCTCACTGTGCTCTTCTTAAAATTCCTGGAGTATTTTCACAAGCTGCAGGTCTTCATGTGGTGGATTTTGGAGTTGCATATCATCAAAATTGTTTCATCTTACATTATCTGGGTTTCTGTGAAAGAGGCAAGTGAACACATGTTGTACCGTCAGGCCCAACAGAACCACAGTGGGTCATCATTTCTCTTCTCCAACTGTCCATGATTTTTTTTAAATGTAATTTTTATTACATCAGAACACCAAGGCTCTTAGATGGGCACACAGAAAACCAAAGGACCGTGGTCCTGAGAGGAGGGGGCAAGGCAGCAGGGCAGAAAGCGCCTCCCGGTTTTGCTCCTAACTGAGTTGGCCTCATCACAGAAGTTACTGATACCCATCCAGCCTTTTGCTGAAATGTGTGAGAACAGGCTGCTCTTCTGCACTCCAAATGGAAATCTATCTCCATAAATTCTCTTTGAGGAAGATAGTAACATTCCAATTTATGTTACCAAGGAGTAAACTCAGGTTCCAAAATGTAATACCATCTTTAGTAGGGCTCACTTTGTTTATTACTGGATTTTTTGAGACAAGTCGTAGTCTTTCAACATTATAACTGCCCTTCTCATCTGGAAAGCGGAGGGTCATTGTTCATCCCACAATTACTTGAAGTTTTCTGAGGAGAAGTTAGCTTTCTTTTAATTTTTTCAACAGTTTTCACATGCTTTTAATTTCCCTGGACGGTTTTTTGAGTTGGTGATAATTCAAAGGGTCTTTAAGTCAGGGACTCTCTAAAAATTAAATCAGGGACCTATTTCCTGTAATTTTTCTAAAAGTGAAACACTAATAATATCTACAATACTATAAACCTAAAATGTTTTACAAGTAGGTAACTAAGGGACCTTAATTTGAGCTCTCCAGTCTAACTAGAACTTTTTCCCATTTTTGTACAAACCAGCTGAAATGAATAGGTGATCACTGCCAAGTGGGAACAAAAACAGAAACCATTCTCCCTGTGACATTTATGGAAGGAAATGACATATGTTCCATTGTTAAGCAGCTAAGTATATTTGTTAATTAGAACTAAAAGATCATCTAAAATATATACTAATTGAGAACAAAAGCATTTAGGTATTTTAACTCTATAGGTGAACTGACCAATTCAGACAGAATTTGAGGGTCAGAATCATAAAGAGCAATGAAAAAGAACAAGAGAAGGCATTTGGCTAAAAATGAGCAAAGATCATTTCTGAATTAGCCAAATCTGGTGTATGGATAACTTCTGATGGCATGAGAAGGCAGAGTTGTGAAGGCATATTAAAATATTTAATGATGGGTGTAGGTATTAAATGAAAGAGAAATTAGTGTGAGCACAGAAAAATCCACCACCTAAGATCCATCCTAGAAAGTTCAGAAAGAGAAAGAAGGAGAGAGCTAAATGTTACCACTTTCTACTAAATCCTAAACAAAAGGCAAATATATTTTACAAAATATCATAATGAGCCTTGAGAGTATCTTGTTAATAGACCAGCCAATAAATGGAGGATCACGGCCTATTCTACTACACTGTAGAAAAATGGCCTTTGGTGGCATGCAGCCAATTCCGTCTCTGTGATTGACACAGTGTGAAGACTTCCAGAATTTTCAGTCCTAATTCCATTTTTCTCACCTATAACTTTAAGACACATCAGAGACTCACGAATCAGAGAAATTCTGCTCCTGCAGAATCCCAGTGCTGTAACATGGTTTAACCCACCCCCGCTCCGAGTATCACCAGAGTTTTCTGTGATGTCATCCCACCCACATGAGGGTTTCCTGTCCCAAAGTGTGAGTTACTGTGTGATCCCTGGATGTCATTGCCGCTGAGGTCTCTGTCCTCTCTGCCCTGACTTTGGTCTCACGCTCACAGCTGATTCTTATAATATCACTGGAGCATCAAGTGATCAGAAAACATGATACATAATCATAAAAACAACTGTATTTCAGACTTCCACTGTCCCTTTAAAATATATCCTACAGGAGAACTTTTTTCCATGTTCCTGAATGCAAAATGCTTTCTGATCATTCTTAGAAAATGGAAAGTCCTACACAGTTACCTTAAATAGCAAACAAACTCTCACTTTATTAATTAAAATTGTAAGTCACAGAAAAGACTCAGGACTCCAGTGTCTTACCCAGGTCTTCTAGCTGCTTCTTGCTTTCTCACACATACGTCCCCTCACCACCTCCCCTGTTCTAATGAACTCATGTCCCTGAAAGCCTCCTGGGCCGGACCATGGACTGGGGTAGGCATGGAGGGAATGGGCATATTCTGATTTGACATGTGCTGTCGTAAGAGGGCCTCACACTCTGGGATGGAGCTGATTCAATCTACCCTTTCTCTCACGGACCTCCAGCTGCAACTCTGGGTCTGTGGCTGTCACCCAGCCCCTGGTGTCCCAGCATCCACTCCTCCTGGACTCTTTCTGTTGTGTCACCCTTGCATGCAGTCCCCCTGGGCAGTGCTCAGACCAGCTCCTGGTGCTCTCGCCCTCCCGCATCTGGTCCAAGGGCAACACCCTCAGTCTGCTCTGCTAGGGTGGGTGGATCCCAGTGAGCGACTGCCATCCTCTGCCAGCATAGTGTCCTGTTTCTCCTTGCTGGCTGGATTTCTTGGGTGAACTGGACTTCCATGACCAAACTCTTGCCCAGACTCCGAGGTACACATTAAGGTCTCTGAGTGGTCCTGCTTGAAGCTCTTCCCTTGGGACTTTGGCAGGAGGATGTCACATCCCTTCCTCCCCATCCTATTATCCTGAGGGAAGGGGTGCTGACAGCAGCACTTCTCTTCAGAGAAATCCCTTCCCACTCCCTCCTGTCATGTTCACTATCTTGGCCCATTTACATCCTCCTGGAGAGCTTTAAAGATCTCTGACATTCTACATTGTTGGCTAGCACTTCATTTAGAATGTTACACCTTCATCTTTTCTAATTTGGTGCCTCATTACACTTTGGTTTAACATCTTCCTACACTGAGTCCAACTGGGGAAGAGAGACAATATTGACTCTTATTCTTGACCATGGACCAATCCAGTGTGTATGTGTCTGATAATTGTATCTGATTATAACACTTGTATATGTATCTGATAATATAATCACAACTGTGATTTTATAATCATATAATATGTAATCAGATATGTAAGAGCCGATCACCATGCACATCAGTGTAGCTGTGTCGCACAACCCCAAGGGCATCATTCACCTCTGAGCAGAAGCCCCTCAGGCGATGTGCTCTTCTGCTTAGAAAGCTGGACCCATCCCCAGCGGGAGAAACCCATCAGCAGCGACATTTGCTACATTTGTTTGTCATTTGCAGTTTATTAATTTGATTAACAAAAAAAATACCCTTTCTCATATATAGACAATCAGTAAATGGCAAAATGAGAACAAAGTGAACATCCCTGGCTAAATTTTCAGGAGGTGTGGCCACATGTTTTGGATTCAAACCATTCTTATTCAAGGCCACCAGGCAAGGGTGCTTGTTTCCACAAACTTTTGTCATTTCTCCCACAAATATTAACCCTTCCCAGGCCATCATCGCGAGGACCTTAGGAAGAAGAGGGCACAGGACAGAATTTTTTAGGGAAACCTTTCTCTTACATCAGCATCTGTTATTCAGAGCTACACCACTTTGGAAGGACCTAGATTTTAAAAATAAGTTTAACATTGTCTTCTCCTTGTTTTATATGCAGCTCTGTTCCTAATTTCAAGTTTCCTAGAAAACTCTGTGAGATTGTTATTCTTTTGAGAAGGGGGCTGTACTTATTGCTTTTAGAATCCTCAGAAGTCCTATGGCCTGACCAGTTGCAAAAGCTCAATGAATGTTTACTGAAGGAAGGAAGTCAGTAAAACAACTTTGCACACTTGAGATATTTTTTCCAGATGTAAATGGATGTTTTATTATTATTACCTCTTTTACTCTCATAGGCATTCATTTAGCCTTTATGATATATTTACAATAAATTACAATGCATTGAATGCTGTGCTGTGCTAGGGGCTGGGGCAATAGCATGAATGACACGTCTTTTCTCCACTCACAGTCTGATGGTGATGGCTGGTAAATAAAGACAGAGTCACATTTACTGCTGGGTTAACAGTGCCCCAGGAGGTGGTGGGTGCACAGGAAGGGGTCTGTCATGCAGGGAGTGTCACTGTAGAGATGATCACTGAAGCTGTGGGGGCTCCAAGAGAGGGAGGCTGGGAGCAGGCCAGCACAGGGCCAGGGAACCACGGTTCTCAAAGGGTCCTCTCCCAAGGCAAGTGGGCGTGAGCCTCACAGTTCATGTTCAGATAAAATGATAATTCGTGTAAAAGTGTTTTGTTAGGAAGGCGCTATGGCATAAAATCACTTCCCAAATGTTACCTGCATGGATGACCAGCTATTCCCCTAGGAAATCTGATTCATAGATACTGGTTAGGGCCCAGGTTTTTGTTTTTTTTTTTTTTATGTACATTCTCTGAGATTCCTACCCATCTCATCAGGGAAATGATGAGACCATCATCAACCACATAAGCCTTGAATGAAGTATCACACACTTCTCTCTGGGTCCCAGTTTTCCTATTTATAAAATGATCAGAAACAAAAACATCCACCTCACAGAAGCTGCCCAGGCTTTCTCTTGATTCTCTATGGCACTGGGTGTAGGTGATCATTTCCTTGTCCTTGAAACTCTCCCTTCTGGTGTTTTCCGACTCATCCCACTTTCTTGGCCCCTCCCGCTTGCTCAGTCACAGGCTCCTTCTCCTCCTACCCTCTTCTCTCTTAGGGCTCTTAGGTTCTAGCACAGCTGCTTCTGTGATTCTGGACTCTCGGCGGGGGATCCCAGGAGCTCCTGTGGCTTGCGTGCTGTCTACCTGCATGAAGTCATAGGTCGGTGTCTTCAGCAGGGTCCTCTCTCTTTGAACTCCAGACTCATGTAGTGGCGACAACTGACGTGACATCACCCTTGAGCACCACTCCCTCTGCACCAGTTCCCTTTTACTGTAACAAACTCCAAACTTCACTGTCATCTTCTCTCCATCCAATAAATATCCCATCAGGCAGCCAGAATAATATTCCCAGAGTATAAATACGACCACATGAGTCCTCACTGGTAAGCTTTCAGCAGCAGTCTCCCGTCTCAGAGTCCCGTGACGTAAGTCCCTCACACCTGGCTCTGGCCCACGTCACCATTTCCTCCTGGATACCCTAGCCTGCCCCCTAAATGGACTCAGCTCCTGCTCTCAGGCTGACCCACTTGCTGCTCCCAGGACGTCCTCCCCATGCTCTGGCTTGCCTAGAAGTCCTCGCCCCCAGAATTCCTCTGCCTGCTTCAGCCCTATTTGTGCCTCAGGCCTCAGTTTAGGTCTGATCCTCTGGGCAATCTTCCCTGACCGTGGATTAGATGAGCAGCGGTGTGCTCCCATGCAACCTGCTCAGCCCAGGCAGGGCATGCCCTTCCTCCTATCGTCTTGGGCTGTGAGGCAGTGTAGTGAACACTACCCCATGTTGTCATGAGTGCAGGATCCAGGCAGGATATGCTAGCTTGAACTTAGTTAGGACTTAATTAAAAGTTGTTTTCTTTTCTTCTTCTCTATTATTCAAAACAGTAAAATTTCCGTGTAAATCGCTGTATTGTTTTTATACTCAATGTCTTAAATACACAGTCAAAGAAATAACACTGAAAAATTCATAGTTGCTTTGATGGAGTTGTTGCCAGCATCCCAAATAGCATCACACTTGCTGATGACTGAGGAGCAGGAGTTCCCTAGCCAGTCAAAATATTTTATGAAAATGTAACATTTATTGTGTTTGGGAGTGCTTCAGATTTCCAGGGCACTTCCAGGAATGATATTTCTTTCATCCTCAGTTAATCCTGCAAGGCAGCTGTTACTACCCTCATATTTCAGCACTTGTTCTCTGCCTTGAACGGTGGCAAGTGGTTAAGTAGAAGGGTAGCAAGTGACAGATTGCAGAATTTGGTGCTCTCCTGGCATCTCCACACTTCTTGTTTTGTAGGTTTGTAAGCAAACAGAAAACCATACCTCTCAGAGCCCAGTGTGCTTAGCACTTGGCACATGTTCAACTTTATCAATTGAGTGCATGCTGTTATTTTCATCTGATAATATTAAATTATCTAAGATATTATTTTAACAATAGCGAGATATTGTTTTAAACACTTAAGAAGAAATGAGTATTTTTCCATGGCTTAATAAGATGGCAGTGCTCTTACCATTCAATGACTAGCAGCCGTGGAGAATTGTTAGGAATGAGTGGCTACCTCACCTAATCAAACACACACGCAACCTAAAACCAGGTTGACATCAATGCCTTCTTTCATGACAACTGTCCCCCACCCCAGATTCTATGTCTGCAGTACCACCACCATTCTCTCAAGGCTCTGGGCCCCAAGCCAGAAACTGGGAGGTATTTCTGACACGTTCCCCCTTATCCCCACCAGCTACACCTCCAAGCAAATCAGTCATCAAATCCAGCTATTTTACTTCCCATCTCAAATCAGTGACTCCTCGCATCTCTGCCCAGTTTGTCACCACTCTCCTGGGCTCTTGTAAAGTCCTGTCAGCTGGTCTCCTGATCTCTGGTCTGACCCCCATTGATGTATCTCCATTCTTCAGTTACACTTACTTAAATAAAATGCAAATCCTTCCTTAAGTATCCCAGTATAAAGCCCTTTAGTGGCTCTCAGTTTTCTGTACAAGGGGTTCCTGTGCCGTAGCATATGTACAAAGGGTCCATCAAAACGTAGCTCTCAGGTGCGTCTGCAGCCAAACTGCTGCCTTTCACTATTTTCAATTCCAGAAGTTCCAGCTGTTTGTGGTCACCTGTTCCTACCATGCTACTTCGTGCTTTTCTGTCTTTGCTCAAACATCCTTTACCTGGAATGTATGTCTCACCTTTCTCTGCCTGGCTGACTATGCATCTCTCAAGGCTCAGCTCAGGCATCATCTCTTCCAGAAAATGCTTCTGCAAGTTCCAGATTGGGCCAACGACCCCTTTTGGTTATTCTCAAAGGAGGCTGTTTGCATCTATAGTTTAGCGGCTGTCACATGATGTTGACGTCCTCTGGTTATGTATCTGCCATGTAAGACATATATCTTGTCCCCCACACTTAGGGCACTGCCTTGTGCATGCTAGCAACTCAATGATGAGACCGTCAGACCGTCATCAACCTTTGCTGTACTGAATAAACCAAGTTGCCACGTTTTGTGGTTGTTTTGCCATGTTATGTATTTTTGTCCCCATTTCTGATTTTATGTTTTCAGGTGTCTCTGTTCAACTATGTATTTTTGATTTCTTGGGCTTTTGCTCTGCCATATGCCAAGCTGCGCCGTCTGGCTTCAAGTGTCTGCACTGTTTGGACGTGTGTGATCATCGTCTGCAAAATGTTGTACCAGCTGCAAACCATTAAGCCTGAGAACTTTTCTGTTAACTGTTCCTTGGTGAGCCTTAAATACAGAACCCTTCTTGAATGTCCTTTAGGGAAGTGATGTGGATAGGGAAACCTACATCCCCAAGCACATTCCACCTGGCTTTTAAAGTTCCCTGAGTCAGGTTGGATGTACCCTGGCCCTTGTCTCTTCTCACACTGACATTTCCCTCTTGAAGTTGTCTTACCCCCATGTACCTTTCCTCAAAGCTAAAGGAGAATAATCTGATTATTCCATGGAACCTTTCTAATCGGTGGAACCATTTTTTACTCCCTTCTCTCTTCTCTGCAGCCAAATGAAAACCAAACGAATATACCCCTCCACCAGCTGAACAAGTCTCTACTATACAGCGCTCCCGTTGACCCCACAGAGTGGGTCGGACTGAGGAAATCCTCCCCTTTGCTCATCTACCTGAGGGTAAAATCTGCACCATGCTCAGTCCAGGCTTCTAGAACCCTTTCCCCGACACCCCTGGTGTCACATTTGATAGTAACCTCATACTCTCCCACGACGTTCAGAATCCCCTTCTAAACAATGACCAAATATCAAAACCACTATTGCATTGTATAAAAAAGAAATCAATTGAGTAATTTGAAATTAACTGAATAAACTATGACAAATATATTCTCAGAAGCATTGTAAAACTACTAAAAGATGGAGGTAGATTGATAATGTCCAAAATGTATTAAGTTAAAAGAAAAAGTAAATTTCAATACCATGCATAGTATGATCTCTTGTAAACAAAAAAACTATTGAGTAAAATAATCAAGTGGTCCAGTGATTATTTATGAGGAGCAGGTATAGTATTGTAAGAAACTTTTCCTGTCTAAATTATGTTTCTGTGTATTTTTAATAAGAGATATAATTATTTTTAAAGGTAATACAAAATTTAAAAACATCTTTGAAAAAGGAATTTTGCAAATAGTTGTAACAAATATAATGAAAACAATACACTTCAGATTTTTCACATTTTTCTTAGGTGGATAATCTGAGCAGTCTCAACATTACACTAAGAATGCACTTAGAAACAAAGCATTTATACTCAACACCTGCAATTTTAAAATGTGCTTAGCATCTCATTTTTCTTTAATTGTGTAGCTTTCAATTTTTTTCCTGTGACAGACATCGTTTATCATAGTACAAATGATATCTATCATAAAGCACTGTTACAGGATAAAATAAACTGATATTTGAAAAGGGCGATTGGAATAGTGTCTGGCACATATGGTTCCATAAATGTCAGCTATTTTCATTATCGTTATTATTATTGTTTTGTCTTCAGCAGCATGCTTCTCAGTCTACTGCACTCACTAGCCAGATTTCCAAATTGCTCAGAAGTTTTCCCTCTAATGCGTATCCTGCTCCTCCACTTCAGACTCTTTCCCAGGTGTCCCTGCCCTGTCTTGCACTTCTAGTTGCAAACAAGGTTGGGCCACCCTCCCAAGGTAACTGGACACTGCTTCCTGGCACAGGTTATATAATTTTTCAGAAGTAAGAATGAGCACCCAGCCTTTTTTCCAGAGATTCTAGATCCTATTAGAGAAATTACTCTTATTTGCATAATGCAGTAATTCCACCTTATTACCACACAATAAAAAGAATGAACATCGAATTCAAGACTATATTTTATAGATGTGGATCTTATAAAATGTCCTTTTAGATATCAAGAATGGAATAAAATGATTTATTATGAGCATTGTTTGAAATTACCAAGTCACAAAGCATTTGGCTTCTCACAACTGTGTTTTCTTGCTTTGTAGAATAATCTCCTGATGCTGGCTATTCTGGCATTTGAGGTTACAATTTACCGCCATCAGGAATACTATCGAGGTCGAAATAACCTGACAGCCCCTGTATCTAAAACCATCTTTCATGACATTACACGACACCATCTAGATGATGGACTTATTAATTGTGCCAAATATTTCATAAATTACTTCTTCTACAAGTTTGGTCTAGAGGTGAGTTTCCTTTGACATGTTTTCTTTCTCTTCTCTGTGAAAATCCCAATAGCTATTTTGGGCCAGTTGGTTGCAGGAGCTATGTGTACATCTCCATGCCACGATTACTGTCTCCTTGGGGTCAGCAGGAGGAGAGTTTCCAGGGGGTCAAACTGACTTAGTTGAAAGTTTTCAAAGACCATGTGTCAGTGCCCCTTACTCCACAGTCCTAACTTGGCCTCTCTGCATGTCTGTAACCTTACAGATATATGGATATCACTTGTCATTTTAACTGGTTTCTTTTTCTTGAAGTATAGTTGTGTATCAAATGTACAACATAGTGATTCACCATTCACCCATATTATCAAGTCCTCACCCCTCAAATGCACTCACTGTCAATCAATGTAGCAAAATGTTATAGAGTCATTAATTGTATTCTCCATGCCATACTACCATCCCTGTGACCTACCTATATTGCGATTGTGAATTATTGTACCCGTCAATCCCCTTTGCCCTCAAACACCCACCCTCCTCAACCTGTAGATCTTCTGTAGATCTTCACTTTGGTAACTACTAGTCTCTTTTCAGTGTCTGTGAGCTGACTGCTATTTTGTTCCTTCTGTTTCTCTGTTTTTATACTCCTCAAATGAGGGAAATCATTTGATATTTCTTTCTCCACCTGGCTTATTTAACTGAGCATAATACCCTCTAGATCCATCCATGTTGTTGTAAATGGCAGGATTTCATTTATTCTTATGGCTGAATAATATTCCATTGTGTATATGTACCACCTCTTCTTTACCTATTCATTTATTGATGGACACTTAGGTTGCTTCCATATCTTGGCTATTGTAAATAGAGCAGCAATAAACAGAGGGGTGCATATGTCTTTTAGAGTCAGGGGTCTTGTTGTCTTCGGGTGAATTCCTGGGAGTAGAATTACTGGGTCAAATAGTATTTCTATTTTTAGTTTTTTGAGAAGCCTCCATATTGCTTTCCACAGTGGTTGCACCAATTTACATTCCCACCACCAGTATAGGAAGGTTCCCCTTTCTCCTCATCCTTGCCCGCATTTGTTATTTCTTGTCTTTTGAATAATGGCCATCCTAACTGGTGTGAGGTGATACCTCATTGTGCTTTCAATTTGCATTTCCCTGATCATTAGCAGTGTTGAGCATCTTTTCATGTGCCTATTGACTATCTGAATTTCTTCTTTGGAGAAGTGTCTATTCAGGCCCTCCACCCATTTTTGAATTGGGTTATTTGGTCTTTTTTGGTGTTGAGGCATGTGAGTTCCTTATGTATTTTGGGTGTTAACCCTTAACAGATAAAGCATTTATGAATATATTCTCTCATACTTGTAGGATGCCTTTTTGCTCTGCTGATGGTCTTTCACTGTACAGAAGCTTTTTAATTTGATATAGTCCCACTCGTTCATTTTTTTATTTTGTTTCCCTTGCCTGAGAAGATGTGTTCAGGAAGAATGCTTATGCTCACGTAGATATTCAAGAGATTTTTGCCTATGTTTTCTTCTAAGAATTTTATGGTTCCATGACTTACATTCATGTCTTTGATCCATTTAGAGTTTACTTTTTGTATGGAGTTAGACAATAATCCAGTTTCATTCCCTTATATGTAGTTTTGCAGTTTTGCCAAAACCAGTTGTTAAATAGGCTGTCTTTTCCCCATTGTATATCCATGGCTCCTTTATCATATTAATCGACCATATATGTGTGGGTTTATATCTGGGTTCTCCACTCTGTTCCACTGATCTATGGGTCTGTTCTTATGCCAACATCAAATTGTTTTGATTACTGTGGCTTTGTAGTAGAGCTTCAAGTCAGGGAGCAAAATCCTCCCAACTTTGTTCTTCTTTTTCAGGATTTCTTTGGCAATTCAGGGTCTTTTGTGGCTCGTATGAATTTCAGATCTATTTGTTCTAGTTTGTTGAAGAATGCTGTTGGTATTTTGATGAGAATTGCATTGATTCTGTAGATTGCTTTAGGCAGGATGGTCATTTTGACAATATTAATTCTTCCTATCCATGAACATGGGATATATTTCTACTTATTGGTGTCCTCTTTAATTTCTCCCATGAGTGCCTTGTAGTTTTCAGGGTATAGGTCTTTTACCCCCTTGTTTAGGTTTATTCCTAAGTATTTTATTCTTTCTGATGCAATGATAAATGGAGTTGCTTTCCTGATTTCTCTTTCTGCTAATTCATTGTTAATATATAGGAATGCAACAGATTTCTGTGTATTAATTTTGTATCCTGCAATTTTGCTGAATTCAGTTATTAGTTCTAATAGTGTTTTGGTGGAGTCTTTAGGGTTTCCTATGTATAGTATCATATTATCTGCAAATAGTGACAGTTTAACTTCTTCCTTACCAGTGTGGATGCCTTTTATCTCTTTGTGTTGTCTGATTGCCATGGCTAGGACCTCCAGTACTATGTTGAATAAACGTGGTGAGAGTGGGCATCCTTATCTTATTCATGATCTTAGAGGAAAGGCTTTCAGCTTTTCACTATTAAGTATAATGTTGGCTGTGGGTTTGTTATATATGGCCTTTATGTTGAGGTATATATCCTCTAAACCCATTTTATTGAGAGTTTTTATCATGAATGGATGTTGAATTTTGTTGAATGCTTTTTCAGCATCTATTGAGATGATCATGTGATTTCTGTCTTTTTTGTTGATGTGATATATGATATTGATTGATTTATAAATATTGTACTATCCTTGCATCCTTGGCATAAATCCCACTTGGTCATGATGGATGATCTTCTTTATGTATTTTTAAGTTCAGTTTGCTAATATTTTGTTGAAGATTTTTACATTTATGCTCATCAGGGATATTCATCTATAGTTTTCTATTTTGTGGTTTCTTTGTCTGGTTTTGGTATTAGAGTGATCCTGGCCTCATAGAATGAATTTGAAAGTATTCCCTCATCTCCTACTTTTTGGAAAACTTTGAGAAGGATAGGTATTGGCTCTTCTTTGATAAAACTCAGCTGTGAAGACATTTGGGCCAGGGATTTTGTTTTTAGGTAGTTTTTAAATTACCAAATCAATTTCATTGCCAATAATTGGTCTGCTCAGATTTTCTGTTTCTTCTTGGATCAGTTTTGAAAGGTTGTATTTATCTAGAAAGTTGTCCATTTCTTCTAGGTTATCCAGTTGTTAGCATGTAATTTTTCATAGTATCTTCTAATAATTCTTTGTATTTCTGTGGTGTCTGTAGTGATTTTTCCTTTCTCATTTCTGATTCTGTTTATGTGTGTACACTCTTTTTTCTTGATCAGTCTGGCTAGAGATTTATTTATTTTGTTTATTTTCTGAAAGAGCTAGCTCCTGGTTCCATTGATTCTATTGTTTTAGTCTTCTCAATTTTATTTATTCTTCTCTGATCTTTATTGTGTCCCTCCTTCTACCGAATTTGGGCTTCATTTATTTTTCTTTTGCTAGTTTCTTTTACTTGTGAGTTTAGACTGTTATTTGGAATTGTTCTTGTTTTTTGAGGTAAGTCTATATTTCTATGTACTTTCTTCTTAGAACTGCCTTTGCCACATCCCCCAGATTTGAGTCTGTTGAGTTATTGTTTACATTCATCTACATATATTGCATGATTTTAATTTGGTCTGTTTTAATTTGGTCATTGATCCAATCATTATTTGGAAGCATATTGTTTAGCTTCCATGTGTCTGCAGGCTCTTTTGTTTTCTTTGTGTAATTTATTTCTAGTTTCATACCATTGTGATCTAAGCTACTTGATACAATTTCAACCTGTTTTAATTTATTGAGGCTCATTTTATGGCCTGGTATGTGATCTATTCTGGAAAACATTCCATGTACACTTGAGAAGCATATGTATCCTCCTTCTTTGGGGTGGAATGTTCTGCAGATATCTGTTAGGTCCATCTATTCTAAAGTATTGTTCAGTGCCTCTGTTTCCTTTCTTATTTTCTGATTGGTTGATCTGTCTATTGGTGTGAATGGTATATTAAAGTCTCCTAAATGAATGTGTTGCAGTATATTCCCCCCTTTAATTCTGTTAGTATTTGTTTTAGATATTTAGGTGCTCCTATATTGGGTGCATAGTTGTTTATAATGGTTATATCCTCTTGTTGGACTGACCACTTTATTATTATGTAATATCCTTTTTTGTCTCTTGTTATTCTCTTTGTTTTGAGATCTATTTTGTCTGATATAAATACTGCTACATGTGCTTTTTTCCCCCTATTATTTGCATGAATTATTTTTTTCCATCCCTTCGCTTTTAGTCTGTGTATGTCTTTGGGTTTGAAGTGAGTTCTCTTGTAAGCATCTTATAGGTGGGTCTGTGTATGTCCTTGGGTCTCAGATGAGTCTCTTGTAGGCAGCATACAGACAGGTCCTTTTTTTAATACATTCAGTGACTCTATGTCTTTTGATTATTGCATTCAGTCCATTTACATTTAAGGTGATTATTGATAGATATGTACTTATTGCCATTGTAGGCTTTAGATTTGTGTTTACCAAAGGTTCAAGAGAAGTTTCCTTACTATCTAACAATCTATCTTAAATTGCTGATTACTCTATTTCAAACACAATCTAGAGGTACTTTTTTACCCCCTTTCTTCTTCTTCTTCTTCTTCTTCTTCTTCTTCTTCTTCTTCTTCTTCTTCTTCTTCTTCTTCTTCTTCTTCTTCTTCGTCGTCGTCGTCGTCGTCGTCCTCCTCCACACTTTATGTATTAGGTGTCAGATTCTGCACTTTTTCTGTATCCTAGACTGACTTTGTGATTAGTTGATTTAATTTCACACTTTCTCAGTGATGAATTGGTCTACTACTTTTACTGTGGGTTTATTTTCACTGTTGACAGCTATTTAGCCTTAGGAAACATTTCCATCTAGAGCAGTGCCTTTAACATATCTTATAGGGCTGGCTTAATGGTGGTGAATTCCTTCAACTTTGTATATCTGAAAACTGTTTAATCCCTATTTCAGATTTAAGTGATCTCATTCCAGATAGAGTATTCTTGGTTGGAGGTCCTTCTGTTTCATGACATTAAATATATCATGCCACTCCCTCTGGCCTGTAAAGTTTCTGCTGAGGTCTGCTGATACCATGATGGGTTTTCCTTTATATGTAATATTTTTTCTCTCTCTGGCTGGTTTCAATACTCTCTCCTTGTCCTTGATCTTTGCCATTTTAATTATTATATATCTTAGTGTTCTCTTCCTAGGGTTCCTTTGCTTAGGGGTTCTCTGTGCATCCATGACCTGAGTGTCTATTTCCCTCCCTAGATTGGGGAAGTTTTCAGCAATTATTTCCTCAAAGAGACTTTCTATCCCTTTGTCTCTCTCTTCTTCTTCTGGTATCCTTATTATGTGAATATTTGTCCATTTGAATTGGTCACACAGCTCTCTTATTATACTTTCATTCTTAGAGATCCTTTTTTCTGTTTTTCAGTTTCATTGTTTTCTTGCTCCTTAATTTCCAGATCATTTATAACTTCTTCATCCTGTAAAAGTCTGCTATTAAATCCCTCCATTGTATTTTTCATTTCAGATGCTGTCTTCTTCAGCTCTCAGTGACTCTTTTGCAGGTTGTCTTTTTGTTGCTGTCCACCCTGAGATCTTGAATATTTTTCTGTAGATCTGTGCACATTCTTGTGACTTTTACTTTGAAGTATTTATCAGGAAGATTGTGATTTCAGTTTCACTCAGACCTCTTTCTGGTGTTGTGACTTGTAGTTTTGTTAGGACCAAATTCCTCTGCCTCTTCATTTTTTCAGTGTTTCCTATGCAATTATAGATTTATGAAGAGCACTCCCTCTAGTGCCCAGAAGCTCAAAACACTTCACTTTCCAGTGTGGGAGCCCCAGCTGTTGGTGTGAAGTGATGGGGTGCCTTTCTGTCTGGCTTGTAGTGATCTGATTTTGGGTGGGCTGTGTGGGCCATCAGCTGGACACTCACACAGGGAGAAGATTCTGGGCAGCACCACTGGAGTTGCTATGGGCAGAGCCACCCTGCACCTGGCCTGAAGCAATGGTGGGGACTGCAGGCATGTGGAACCAGAATCTGCTGGGAGAAAGGGGTTTCTGGGGCTGGCTCCTGCCATACTTCTGCACCTGGCCTGAAGCAATGGTGGGGACTGCAGGCATGTGGAACCAGAATCTGCTGGGAGAAAGGGGTTTCTGGGGCTGGCTCCTGCCATACTTCCCCAGCTGGGCTGAAACAAAGCCAAGAAAGCTGAGAGGGTCTCCCTCTGCCTTCCCAGCAGCAATGTCTGCCTCCACTGCCAGGTCAAGTGGGCCATCCACAGGCCATGCATGCAGGGAGGAGCCTTGGTGCTGCCCTGCTGGAGCTGCTGTGAATGAAGCCACCCTCTGCCCAGCCTGCAGCAATGGTGGGGGTGCAGGCAAGTGGGACCAGTGTCTACCAGGAGGAAGGAGCTCCCAGGGTTAGCTCCCATAGGCAAATCCTCAACTGGCCCAAAACAGGGCAGAGAAAGCTGGGAGGGTCTCCCTCTGCCTACCCGGCAGTAAAGTCTGCCTCCATTTCCAGGCTAAGTGAGCCAAGTGCAGGCTCTGTGCTGCAGGGAGGAGCCTCAGGGCTGTGTTGCCAGTGAGGGAGATGGAGCGTCTGAGTCTCCCAGCAGAGTTCCCAACCTGCTGGGCCAACAGTGGGTTGGGGTGGTATTATCCACCTGCCCTTTCTCCTGAGCAGAGAGCTCTGTGTAACCAGTGTCCCTCTGGGGCCCCTCCCACTGCTGGGAAGTCTTTCAAACTTCCTGCTTTGCTTTTGCCTCAGGGGGGTTGGTAAAGTGTACTGGTTCTCTACAAGTGGTTGGAATCTCAGCCTCCCCAAATGTTCCACCTGTCTCTGTTGTCCAGCCCCACTAATCACCAGAGCACTATGTAATGTGGCTTTGTGTTCCTGGAGCAGATCTCCAGGGCCAGGTGTTCAGTGGTCCTGGGCTCCTGCTCCCTCCCTGCTCTGTTCCTCTTCCTCCTACCTGTGGGCTGGGGTTGGGGGCAGGCTTGGGTCCCACCAGATTGCAGCTTTGTCACTTTACCCTTTTCTGTGAGACCTTTTCTTCCCCAGGTGTAGGTAGTCTGTTCTTCTTTCTTCAGGTCATTTTCACGTTTAGTTGTATTTGCTGTGTTTTCATGTTCTATGTGATTTGGGGAGGAGGTTTCTGCCTTGCCTTCTTACTCTGCCGTCTTTTTCCCAGAATCCTGGTTTCTTATTAATAATAAAATATTATAAATCTTCTTTCTGTTTTGTGCATTCTGAAAGTGTAACCGTAACCAAAATGAACTGTTTTGACCTGAAATACTTGTGCTGGTACCTGTCCCTTAATAGAGTGAGTGAATGGACAGTGTCATTTCATGATGAGATGAGATCATGGCTGTAGTTCTTGTCATGATTTGAAGGGTTCTTATTAACAGTGATGTAGTTGGTCTTTCCCTTGTAAGTAATTTGTATGGTATTTCTGTCTTCACACTGGAAGATGCTCAGAAGAGACAAGACATGGTGAATACATGTAGACAGACATAACCTCACATGCATCTCTGTGCCTCCTAGACCAGGCTGACAGCTGACACCACTCCCCTTCCCTATAAGTCTGATTTTTTGCCTCTTTTCATCCTTACACAGACCTGTTTCCTAATGTCAGTTAATGTAATCGGTCAGCGAATGGACTTCTATGCCATGATTCATGCTTGCTGGCTGATCGCTGTCTTATATCGACGCAGAAGAAAAGCCATTGCAGAGATTTGGCCCAAGTACTGCTGCTTCTTGGCATGCATCATCACGTTCCAGTATTTCATCTGCATTGGCATGCCCCCTGCCCCTTGCAGAGGTGAGCCTGCCCTTCCTGGGGGCCAGCTGCTCTTAAAATCAGCCCTTACATGGTGGACAGTTGGGAGGAGGGCAAGAAAGAAGTGCGTTTATTCTGCTCTGACCACCTCCTTTCCTGCAGATTACCCATGGAGGTTCAAGGGTGCTAGCTTCAATGACAACATCATCAAATGGCTGTACTTCCCAGACTTCATCGTGCGGCCTAACCCCGTGTTTCTCGTCTGTAAGTGTTGCAGCCATGGGACTGCAGAGCGCTGGTGTTAGGTTTTATATTTGCTAATCCTTCTTCATGCATTAGGCCCTAGGGCCCTTGCTTCCTCACTGCACTACATAATCATGTAAAAGCTTGCCTTCATGCATTAATATCACAAGCCCTATGGCTTCTATTTGCCTTATTACATTTTCAAAATTAATAAATAAACATCAGAACTACATAATCATTTACATAATTTGACCTCCCAATGCACATGGCCAGTCTCCACTCCCTCACACCCACCTCTACACCAACCTGCTAGAAGATAGAGTGAAGAGGCAGGACTTGTATCTTGTGAAGTGGTTGTTTCTGGCTGCCACCACAGACAGACAAATACTAATGATACGATTATGGTAGCTAAGAAGCTGCTATCCACTTTGCAGTTGCTCTAGAATTGGACTGCAGCCCCAAACCCCTCCAGGGACAGGCTGATGATCCAAAGGCTGAAGCAGCCCCACCTAGACAATGGGCAGTGGTGGAGGCAATGGAAAACCCCAGAGTGACTGCACTGCCCACATGCATTCAGATTTAATTTAAAGAATAACAAAACATCTTGGTGTTGGAGGCTGCCTGCCAGTGGCTGGTGTGAGGGCCTGTCAGGGGCAGCTGGCTGCAGGGGATGGACTGGCAGAAGACAGCTCTGTCAGGCTTCTCCTGCTCACAAATCAGCCATTGACTTCACCTACTCCCACCACCATGCATGCTCTGAGACAGGTCTTTGGTTACAAATGCAGGGGAAAGGAGAAAATAAAGAAAGCCAGAAATGTCTGCATCTCCCACATGTAAAAAGATTAAAATGGGAAAGATGCTCAAATGGCCTCCTCAAAATTTTGGTAGGAGATGAACACCATCACATAAGAGAGTTATGAAGGCTAGTAATAGCACCTGATCCTTTGACACCAATGTGCAGATAAGACCAGGACTCTCCACTGGGAGCCCCTGGATGCCTGTGGTTCCTCTTATATCCCCCATGGTGGGGACTTGGCCTCAACATTGGAATCTAGGAAGAATTGTGCCATGGACTTTGGGAACATTACTTACTTAGGAGTTGAAGAGCAGCTCATCCCATGTGGGAACTGTTTCTTTCATTAGTAAACCCAGAAGAGCATTAGGTAGTTAACTGTCTGACCTCTGTCTTGCCAGATGACTTCATGCTGCTTCTGTGTGCCTCCTTACAAAGGCAGATCTTTGAGGATGAAAATAAGGCTGCTGTGCGAATCATGGCAGGGGACAATGTTGAGATTTGCATGAACCTTGATGCAGCCTCCTTCAGCCAGCATAACCCTGTACCAGATTTCATTCACTGCAGGTAAACACAGCTGTGCAGTTTCAAAGCCCCTTCAGTGTGTGCATCTCAGAGTATTCGCCTCCACTTACAGTTCTCTCTGCCACCCTGGGAAGCTGACCAACTGATTGTAACCATTAAGCTAGTAAATGTGGGCAGGGGTGCTCATAGTCTGGAAGCTGAGTCTCTAATTGTAGTCTTGTTTCTGTCTTCATCAGCATGAACCAAGTTTTTTTATTGTGTCCCTCCTCTTCTTCATACACAAACTGTCTTGTGCCATAATACTGATTCCTGCTGCTACAGTAGAGATGGTCATCTTATTTTCTAACTTCGTCTTTATCTCCTGTCCCTCATCATCATCCCCTGCCCCTCCTCTCATCCCATCCCCCTCCTCATTCTCATCCCCAGCTCTTCCTTGTGTCCCTGTCCCCCTTGTCATCCCCCATGTGCAGTGGGCACTGAGGAGGGCTGGGGACTGCAGCCTGTCCTTTGCTGGGCTCTGCTGAGCACTGGCTCCTCCCTGGCCATGCGGGCTTCTGTATGGCATCTTTTCTTCCTCCACCATCCTTCACAGTCTGGTAACAGCTGATTTTGGCAGCCTGTCCCCTCCCAGGAGTTTGTGTTTAAGCCAGACTAAATCTCCTGCTATGCATGCCTTCTGATTTTCTGGGTTTTTCACCCAATGCTCACTCAATGGAGGGCGCTCCCATCTGCCACCCACCTCAATTCTTCCAGCCCTGTAAAGCGTTTAAGGCTCCTCTCAACCACCTGCAGCCAGAGTCTGACAGCCTGTGGGGTCATGTGTACCTCCTGTATCCGGTCTGTGGCTTTGTACTCATTATGGGGACTTTCTGATCCTCACTAGTTAGCATCCACTCTCTAGAACTGCTGGGAGGATCTGGTGAGAGGCTGCACATTTGGGCTCAGAGTGGAGACTGAGGTTTTAGATAAACCAGTGAAACCTTACACACCTGGCCTTTGCTCTGCAGCATTGGCGGCCCATCGTGTTGGCATGGTGGTGTTAATTGTAGACCATACCTTCTCCCCCAGTCTAAGGTGAAGTTTTGCAACTTAGGGCAAAGTGCATGTGTAACTATTCTGTGCTTGTGCCCATTCCCCATCCTTGCAAATGGTTTTTGGCCTACAGTGGAGGCACTCACGTGAATAGCTGGCAGTTCCTGGGTGCTGACTGTGCCAGGCTTTGTTCCACATGCTTCTAATATATGAATACATTTTACCCTAATGACCACCCAAACAGGCACTTGTATTATCCCCATTTTGTAGGTGAGGAAACTGAGCAAGGCTCTGAACCCAATCAATTTAGCTCAAAACCTGAATGCTTAAGCACTTCCATGACTCTTGGCAGCATCAGAGCTTGATGTGTACTCAATAAACCAATGGTGAATTTGCTTTAAGTGATATGCTATGTAGACTGAAAGGTTTTTTGCAAATGAAGCACTGCACTAAACACTAATATAAGGCAGGGCTTCCATATTTGCTCCGCTCTGCTGTGCCGAGACAAGCCAGCCCGGCTCATCCTTTTCCCTTTTGCAAAGAAAGAAAAAGAAGTACTCAAATCTGTAATGAACTTAACAAAAACCCAGATATCATTCAAAAGCTTTTGTGTACCACTGATTTTAAAAGCCATCTTTTTAAAATTGAATTATTTCAAGCTTTTAGATCTGTCTCTCAATTAGGACTGCCAGAAAAGACCCCCTCCAGAGGAACGTGTCAAATACTAGAATCGTGAGCAGGAAGTTAGTGACCACTTTGCTGTCAAAGGCTCGCCCATCCTCCACCCAACTCCATGGGCACATGCTCCACAGCAGCCCTGGAAGGGAGCTCCCAGTGCCATGGCTGCCCAGCCTCATCTGCTCAGGGGTCCCCAAGGCTCCCCTTCAGTGCTGAGTAACTAGTATTTTCCATATTATCCTCACAAGCCTAGTTTTATGCTTTTGAACCTGAAGCAGGTTAAGTGCTCAGGAGTAGAGACCAGGGATCCTGGAGCAGGAATTAACAGTGGGCAAAGAAGGGGAATTTATGGAAATCACACATTTCTCTAATGTTTTTACACACACATACACACACACACTCAAAATGCCAGCAGGCTGATTCCACTGGCTTTAAAGCACACACACCAGAAGGCTCTGTGGCCATTCTGACATTACATCCTAACTGAATCCCTGCCTTGGCCTATGATGGCCCTGAGGCATTTCATTCATTCCCCTTTGGGTATGAAGTCAAGGAAGGCTATAATATACTTAAAAATAATCATAACCACATTTAAGAATGTTGAGTATTTCACTCTGAAAAGAGTAAGCTCTACAGTTTGCTCCTCTGACAGTGAAACTTCAGGGCACAACTCATTCCCTAACGCTGCTGGATACTGTGCTTCCTGTTTTACCAAGAGATTGCCTACTCCTCTTACCAAATAACAACTCATTAATCAAACAACTGACCCAGAATTGGTTCTTCCCAAACCTGGGTGGAGAAACAACCACAGCAAAACAAAGAAACTCCAATCAAGCAAATACAGATGGGACTTGGCCTGCAGCTGCAGCTCCCACCAGGGTCCGGTGGCCTAGGGAGGCTGGAGAGCCTCCAGCCACTGCTGTGTGTTGCATGATGACTGACCCTGAATGCTGCCTCCCTGTCCATCAGGGAGCTCATAGGGAGGAATGGCTCCCAAAATAGGAGTCTTGACTCTACCCAAGGATGTCCAAAGACAGAGTATTGGACAGAGCCTGTGAGTGCCACCGTGGTTGTGTCTGCTTTGTCAGAATTACTTCTCATCTGCAATTTTCATCTTTAGTAAAATTTTTATATCTAACATGCATTTGTTTTAGCTATTAATATCTACTTTGTTAAAGAGATTCCATTTTTTACTGTTCTTTGACTCCAGGGGGCACCTATTTTCAGAATTCCCTTTGCATACAATTGCTCATGCTTCCTATAGAAATAGAAAGAGAGGAATTTTTGAGTACTCAAATAGCAGGAAGAAAATGTTGCTGTTTGTGGGAAATTCAGCCCAAATAAGATGGTGGTGAATGTGCACACAGTGTTTGCAACAACATACCTATTCACTCATCCATTACTAACTAGGTGAGGATTTCCTACAGACCAGACAGTGTTAAAGGGAAGATGAACCAAGAGCTCACAGCATGACTTGCAGAATGCTTCCACGTAGAGTCAAATGGATGTTGTGAATGCTTTTCTGTATTTAAGTAGAATCTCCAGACTTTAGTGTGCTTGTCTGTGCTGTTGTCATTTGATGGTTGGGTTCTGTTTTCCAGATCATATCTAGACATGTCCAAAGTGATCATGTTCAGCTACCTCTTCTGGTTCGTCCTCACCATCATCTTCATCACCGGGACAACCAGGATCAGCATCTTCTGCATGGGTTACCTGGTGGCCTGCTTCTACTTCCTGCTCTTTGGGGGTGATTTGCTGTTAAAACCCATCAAGAGCATCCTGCGCTACTGGGACTGGCTGATTGCATACAACATTTTTGTGATTACGATGAAAAACATACTGTCAGTGAGTGCCTCCCACTGTATAACACATTTGTGGTTTCAGTAAATGATCCATTCAGTGGTTATTAAAAGCCCCTCTCCAGTCACACTGCTCTCTTAAAAGCCCTAAATAATATGCTGAAAACTCAGAGTTCAAGGGACAGTTTATGACTCTCCTTTGCCATATTAAGCAGAATCCTGTTTGCTCATTTCCACCATCTCAAGATCATAAGACAAGAGGATATGTATTATTAGGAATAAATTCTAAAGTTTATTTTTAAATTAAAATTCCATCCCTTCTGAGGAACAATGTGTCGTTACTCCTACTTTATGCTACAGAGAGGCCCTTTTATGAGATAAATCACATTGAATCTCTTCAAAAGTCATATCATGTTGGTTAAAGGCATCTTCTTACCTAGAAGGATTATGGAAGTATAAAATAAAATGAACATAGTTCTCTGTAACACCATGTGGGGTGGGACATGAGGTGGAATAGGCTGTTGAAGGCACAGGGTTTTACATACCCACGAAGCAGGCAGAAGAGGAAAATGCAGCTTCCCGGTTGCCTCAGCATAGGTGTTCCCCTAGGGCGCAGCACGGACGGTACACGGGTGGGGGAAGCATTGCTCCCAGCTCCACAAAGGTCGGCCGCTCTGCTGCTGAGTAACTACATCCATATTCCAGAATATTTTCATCCTGACCAGGAAGATAACTCAGTCATCCCAGAGCCACATAAAATCTTTTAGGACACAAGGTCACCTTTTAAGTTATTTATTGTTTTAAGAAATGAAACAGCTTTTCATGAGCTGAAGGAGTTGACACATCTCTAGATGGTCCAAACTTAAAGTTAATGCTCGTGTCTTGTGCTCACAGGCTATATCTGGTAGTAAATTAGAAGGGCAGTGATGGAGTGATTTCCTGCTTCTTGCCTTCCTAGCTACTTAAAGATGAGCTTACTAGGCAATTCAATAGTGAAAGCATTGGATTTTTTTTTTTTTTGGCACATACATTACTGTGTTTAGAGGTCTTGGAAAGCCAAGTCTGTGTAGGCATGATTATGTATCTGAATCATTTATTTTGTCTCCAGCCCCTTAAACTGTTAATTTTCTAGTTGATAGTGAAAGTGACTTTTATTCATCAGTTTTGCCCTACCAAAATTTATTTACATTTGGGTTAATACTGAAAGTTGCTGCAAAGGGTATGAGACAGGATAGCAGAACACCATTTCATTCTAAAGCCAGTGGGAAAGAGAGGGCTTTGTTGCCAGAAGTTGATCCCTAGAGCCATTCCTGGAAAGTGTATGGCTACAAAGTCTGTTCATTCATTCATGTATTCATTCTGTAAACCCGCATTGCAGACCTGCTGTGTGCAAGGCTGTTCATATGTTGAAAAACAAGAGATAAATGCACTCAGGTATTAGCCTAAGGAACTCGCATTCTAAAAGGAAAAATAGACCTACTTGTTGCTAATTATCCCACCATTTTAGGAAAACAAAACAAAATAAGAGTGCTTCATATCTTGACTAGATATGCTGGGAATAGGCTTCCTGCAGGCAATGCCCCTTGAACTCATCAGAGCCTTGGAAAATAGATTGAAGGGCATCCAGGAAGACAAATTGAGGAAGAAATTCCCATCCTGGAGAACCTGAGAGAGAGAGTGAGGCCTTGTAGGACTGAAAGAGTAGTCTGCAAAGCATGTTCCAATGGGGGGTTTGTGCTGTTTGGAAGCAGATCCTAATTATATTCACATCTTCCCAGGAAATATACACAATTTAGCCAACACCGTTTTGGTTGGCTCACAACAGTTAATATGTGTTTAAACTTTCCCCCCTAGAATGTGAACTTAATGTAACTCTGGCAAGAAATCATTATTACGAGGCAACTACATGACAATCAACAAAGAAGTTCCCTTTACCCAGAGAATTGGCCAAAAAATGCTCAAAACACATATTCCTTTCCAATGCTAAGGGCCACCATGCAGCTTATGTATGTTTGTGATGATCTCCTGGTCAACAGCATAGGTTTAAAATGTCTGAACTTATGAGGAAATAACTCTACATAAATCAAAGTCCTGGAGTTTCTTGCTCAGCCATTTGCTGTCACAGTTTGGCTTGTACCTAAGATAGTCCAGGATTGCCTCTGTTAAAAGAGAGGTGCTTCCAAATGCAGAAAACATCACACTACACCTCTACTTTTCCTCACTTGGTTGAGTTTCCCCAGGAAATTATGGTGTTTCCAAAGCCCAAGAAATCAAGATCACTTCCCCAGGGAGGCTGAAATGCTAGGTACTGTCAGTACCTTCTGCAGCCCTTGGCCGGAGACTTTGTGAGATTCTGCACATATTTGGATCACAAGACAACCACCATTTTTTCTCAGTGCTGAGTTTTAGAATTTTCCTTTCCCATTTGTTTTTCAGATAGGAGCATGTGGATACATTGAGAAATTGGTTCAAAATAGTTGCTGGTTGATTCAAGCTTTCAGTCTGGCCTGCACAGTCAAAGGCTATAAAATGCGTAAGTGTGAAAAGCAAATTGGAGTGCAAGGACAGAGAAGGAAGGACAGTTGCATTGTTCTGATTTTAAAGTGGGGCCAAAAAATGTAAACAAAAGAAAAAAGCAAAGGTCAGTTCAGTCTCTAGATGGAGGCTATAAGGACATCGTGAATCTATCGTCCATAATGCAATTGTCTTGTGGCCCTACTCTAGACATCTTTAATCACCCTCTGCAAACTGAAAAACCCTGGCAGGCCTAGAGTAGCCCCCTGAACATTCCTGAGTCATGATGAGGATGGATTGCAGAAGCCCACTTATGCCTGAGGTTGTTGCAGTTAGAATCTTGGGTCATCAAAGTAACTCTGACTTCCAGGCCCTTCTCTCCTCAGAAAGTTCAGGGAATTCCAAACTTGGGACAACAGCTGGGAGGAGTACCAGGGTCTCTGTAGTTAGACTCCTAGCAGGAGAGAAGCAGAAATCCTATTTCCACCCCTCTGCCTCTTGCTCTAGGACCCAGGACAACAGCACACTTGGTCCTCCATGGTGCCCAGAATGAGGGCCATCTGACCATGGCACTCTCCCAGTGGGGCTTCCAGTCCAGGCTAGTCTCTGTAGAGGAGGAAGAGTCACTGGGCATTTGTTTTGACTTAGGATGAGTTGTGCAGTTAATACCTCTCCTCCTTATAGACCATATTGTCTAACTACTCTGCTGGTCACACCCGGGTACAGCCCGTTCCCCAAATAGGTATTTCTGGGTTTGTTTTTATTTTGTTGCATCAGAGCACTGCCTCTGGCTTTGGGACTTATAGCCATTATTTCTCCATGGCCCTTGTCTGGGGGGAAATGGTTTCTTTCTTCCTAAGAGAGAAATACTCAGGAGCCTAATAGCAAAGAGACCCTCCTGCTCCTTATGCTGTCAGGAGTTCACTTTGTGGTCAGTCATAGGAATCACTGTTGGCATTGGTTTTCAAATGTGTGGCCTTGCTTGTAAATAAATCCACTCAAAAGTGAGTCAGTGCTCTTCGGTCTGTGTGATTTTCTAAGCCTGATAATACCACAGATTTTATAGAATAACAATGAAAAAGGATGTTCAGTTTAATTTTTTTTCTACCTTTTTCCCCAGCTGATGATGATTCCTCATGTAAGCTACCCAGTGGTGAAGCAGGAATTATTTGGGACAGCATATGTTTTGCCTTCCTCCTGCTGCAGAGGAGAGTTTTCATGAGTTACTACTTCCTACATGTCGTGGCTGATATAAAAGCTTCACAGATTTTGGCATCAAGGTAGGTCACGCTGTGCAATCAAGCAGTTTCTCCTGAGAAATGTGTCTGGAGGTAATATTGCACTGGGCTGTCTGTCTGAGCTTGCTTATAGAACCCACAAGAAATTAAGAATTTCCTTCCAGAAAAACCAGTCCAACAAGGTTTAGCACAAGGCCTTTAGGATTCAAATTAAAAGAGTAACAGTGGGGCCCATGGTGCTGAGTCACACCTTGAAAGGAGCTGGGATGCTCCAGAAGGCCAAAGGGCTACTGGCCGTCTAGAGCCTTCTCAGCAGGAGCCGCCCTGACATCTGGCCTCGGTCACAGCAGTGGCATAGGCCCTGGTCTAGAGTCTAGTCTATCCCCATCCCTGTTAAGAACTCCTGAAAATAGAGAAAAACCAACTTCTCTCTTATTTTTCAAATGTTAGGTGGAAAGGAGTATGCTAATTCAGCCTACTCTACACCCTTTTTACCTGCCTTTCCCGTATCCTTCCCTCCTTTTCAGGCTTTCCCCAACAACCTGATTTCCTATTGTCCACACGACTGGCGTTATTTCATTACTACCTTCTCCTCCTTAGACTCCAACCTTCTTCCAGTTTTCACCCCCAATCTTGTAGGTTTAAGGGAAAAGACTGGAAGAGAACTAGGTGTTAAATGAGTGACGGTGAGCTGAGGGTCAGTGACCTGGTGCGTGAACCTCAGGCCACTGTGCCCCTCTCAGAGCCATTGGTCTTGCCGAGACCCAATTGGATCCATGATGCTAATCTGAGAAACATTAGCTTGCTCCATATGAAATTGCTAATGTCTATAACAGACACATCTCTGTTTATGCTGCCAGTGTTCCTAGAGCCTATTCTCTTCCTGCTAGGACAAACAAAATGTTTACTTCACAAGTTGTTTTATAGGGAGGCAATTCCCAACTGTTGTCAACTAAATTGCAGCCAAATAGAAAGAGGACCCGGCAGGAGACCTATTTTTAATCCGAGTAGTATACTGTTGGCACTCGCTACAAAGATGAACAATGGCTTCTTTTTATATATGACTTTGGCCCTGGAACTTACCATTATAACTGTTTTTCTAATACCCAGAGCACCATATTCAAAGCAGAATTCAATGACTAGTCCAGATAGTAAACTTATTTACTTATATATAGCAGCTGGCATTTTTACTGATAAATAGCATCTTTTTTGTCTTCCTTTAAACATTTGATCCTTAGATGTCCAGGACATAATAGTAAGCCAGTATGTTTTTCTCAAAGTTTTCATAATTATTTAGAAAGCATATCTTTCATGTTATAGTATCTTATGGCTTTGGTAAAGAGCATAGCTCATGCTTGTCAAAGAAAAGCCATGTTTTAATAAGCATTGAACTCACAACAGAATTTCCAAAGACTAGACATTCATTCATTCATTCAGTACCTACTCTGTTACATGGAAGGGGATGTTTGGGCACATACCAGTAGGTATGTGTTCCTTTCATACCAGTAGGGCGATGGGCACATAACAGGCAATTAGAATGCAGTGTGCCTCATGCAGTGGTAGGAGACATTTGGGAAGCTGTGGGGTTGTATTGAGATATGACCCACTGCAGGGGGCAGGACCCAGGGCAGCCTTCCATTCTAAGCCGCAGGCCAAAGGATGAATAGGAGTGAGAGGAGGAAGGTAGGGGAGGCACTCTGAGTGAAGTTCCCAGGGGCAGTTTTCATGGAGGAATCATAAGAAGCTCAGAGTGGCTGAAACACAGAAATTCGAAGATGAAGATAGTGAGTGATGAGAAATAAGCTAGAGAGGTAAGCAGAAGTCAGATTATCAGGTGACTTGGCATCCATGTTTATGACCTTAGAAGTAATCCCACAGACAACAGGAAGGCATTGAAGCATTCAAACAAGGGAGTGACTTGGCTGTATCTGCATTTCAGAAGCTCACTCAGCTTGTGGTGTGTAGGATAGACTGAGTACAGGCAGGACTGTAGGCAAAAGGACCAGTTAGGTGGCTGCTCTGATATCCAGGATAGGGATAATGGCAAGGACCAGGATGGGATAAATTGGAGAGAGATTTAAGAGGTAAAATTGGCACAATTGGAAAGTTGATTGGGCGGAAGGGAGATGACGATAGAAAGGGAAAAGCAGAGGGTGATGTGCCTGGGATTCTGGCTCAATGCTAGTACAATCACAAATGTAGAGAACCTCAGGGCTGCACAAATGTAGAGAGCCTCAGAGAGAAGGCCTACACTGTGGAGTTTGTAGGTCTCATGGAGCTGTGAAACTGAACCCACTGGGGAGACAAGCAGGCAGTTGAGTAGACAGGTCTGGAGATGGGAACAGAACTGAGTGTCAACATTACACAGATGGAGCAAATAAGGGGTTGGAGTTGCCCAGAGAGAATGTGAATTTGAAGAATGAGAAAAGGACCAGGGGAGCACTTATACTTAAGAGACGGGCAGAGAAATGGGCTGCAGAGAAAGCCAGGAAGTGTGAGCCAGAAAGAAAAAGGAAAACTAGGATAGCATGATGCCTTAGGAACCTGAGGATGACTGTTCCAAAGTGGAAGTTCAGCAGATACAAAAGACAAGACTGAAAATTGCACACTGAAATCAGTGACCTTGAGAGGTGGGGATCAAAACCAAACACCAGTGAGCTGAGGTTGAAGATATCAGCTTGAGGACAGTGACTGCAAGATATTTGTCCATGCAGGGGCAGTAACATAAGGCTACTTAAGACTCCCAGGTGAACATGGGTTCTTTTCCTAAGATGAGAAAATGTGAGCACATTTACATGCTTACAAGCTGGATTCAGAAGCATCAGGAAGGTTGAAAATATGGGGAGAGAAGAATCGTGTGGAGGATGGGGTCCCTCAGGCTGCAGGTGGGAAGGGACCTAAACACAGGCAGGCTGTAGACAGGAGAATGTCACCTTTTCCAATGTCACAGGGAAGGGTGTCCACAGAACGGGTGGCAGGCAGCTGAGTGAATTATTCCTTCATGACTTACATTCTCTTCGGGAAGTAGGAAGCTAGTCATTTACTAAAAGTGAAAAGCCCTTGACAGGCTTATGGATTTTAGAAAAGTGTAAGAAGTTTGAAATAGCTGCTGTAGAGAAGCAGAAGACTTTCCACGGAGCATGGGGGGTTCATAGAGAACCTGCCCAGTCTATGCATTCAGCACTGTTGAAGACCCCCATCCAAACCCGGGCCGGCCTCCCACCCCGTGGCATTCCTACAGACATGGGACTTGCCAGGCAGATGTGACCAGGTGACAGTGGAACAGAGTTAAGGATATTAAGAGAGGTTGATGAGATCTACGGAGACCCTTAAATTAGTTTGAAAATGTGAAAGAACAGAAAGGAGGGGATGGGTAAAAAGAGGAACACCAAAGAGGCAGAGACTGGAAATCCCGAGGACGGATGGAACTGAACTCCAGCTCTGCGTGTTTCCTTAAGGAGGCCCAGCCCACTCTGTCCCCTTGCTCATTGAGTTGCCTCCTGGGACAGCAACAGGAAGGTCAGGTGGGTGAGTGCTGCTGAGCTACAGTGCTCTGAGGGACGGGTGTGAAGAGCGCCTGCCTTCTCATGCCTTAGGAGACCACCCTTCTCCCTTGACTGATTTCCCATGCTGTGAACAACCCATTCCCTCCAAGGGCAGGCTGGGCCAAGTTCGTCCACTGGAAGGGGGCTTCTGTTTGGGAACTCATGACTCCCACTCCCAGCCAGGACAGTCCAGTCAAGGGCCTGAAGAGAAATGCTTTCTAAACCTTAGCAACATTTTCAGCGGAAAGTAGGTAACAATGGTAGAAATACTGATGTATTCTGTTTTCAATTTTTCTTTAGAGGGGCTGAACTTTTCCAGGCCACAATTGTAAAGGCTGTAAAGGCAAGAATTGAGGAAGAGAAAAAGTCAATGGACCAGCTGAAGAGGCAGTAAGAATGCTCTATTTTCTCTCCTTCTTTCTTTTAATTTGGTTTGTGTGATTCCATTCAGCTGGCTCTCAGCTCCAAAGAGCCTCAACTCCCTGAAAAATCCATTTGTGTTCATGTTCACAACGTCCTGGCTATTTGCTCCTATGTCAGGTTGGTGGCTTATGGATTTGAAGAACCTTAGTTGGCTGGACTGAGAATGGAAGCAGTTTAAAAGAAAGACAGCTGCACTGTGGTGGAAGGGGAGCATCTTGGATAAGACCAGGTCAAATCTCAGTTCAGGTTGGGACTGAACTTGAACACTGAGCAAGTCATTCAAATTCTACACATATCAATCTCCTGTTTTAAATTAGGGCACACAATTCCATCTGCGTTTTTACAAAGATTAAATGAGTTAACAAATGAGACAGGGTCTTTCCCAGTACCATGCCCTTGGAGTAGGTGTTCACTACATCTGTGGATTAAGGGAATAATTGGGAAATAGAGTTTCATTATTACAGTTTCTGCATAGTTAGCCTTCCTGAACAAGCAGATAAAATAAGAGGCATTAAATCAGCAATTAAAGATGTAATAATACTTTTTTCAGAACAACTAAGAGATTAGATCTGAAATAGAGAGGAGTGATATGATCCAAAAGAATACTTACGAACATTTGAGGAACAATTTGCTACTTACAGAATAGCTCTCACACTCATATAGATTGTCGTTTGATCTTCACAACTATGTGAGATTGACAGATACTTGAAAAAAAACACATATGCAGAAGCTGGGAGAATAAAGGAGTTACAGTTCATAATATGCTGTGTTCAGAATGACTCTGGTACAAAGTGTGTGTGAAAAAAAATGTAAAGTATTGCTTATCACACCTTAATGTAATTATTATTGATCATATTATTCAGACTAGCATCAATGTAGTGAAAAATAACATGGGTCCTTAAAAAAAATGGGGGATGCTTGTTGCTAATAAGAAACCATTCACAACTTCCAAACACTGACCACTTTGTCCATAGTTCCAGCTATACTCAGCTAAGTGCAAACCCAAAGCACTGGCCTTCTGGCAACTGTGGATGTGTTCTTGGCATTGTGGCTGCTGTTTCATTTTACAGGATGGATCGCATCAAGGCCAGGCAACAGAAATACAAAAAGGGTAAGGAGAGGATGCTGAGCTTGACCCAGGAGTCAGGGGAAGGCCAAGACATCCAAAAACTCTCTGAAGAGGATGATGAAAGTATGTCGAGACATTTCCCTCCTATTCAAGTACCCTGACATTGATTAATAGCATAATATTGGGTAGGGCTGTGAAAGAACATAATTTTTCATTCTGCCAATATTATCGATGTGTTTTTTTTTAACTTAGCAAGTTTTGCCTTCCCATTGTGAATGGAATATGTTTGTTTCATAAAGTGCATGTTTAATGAATCCATGACTTTAGAACCTCTCCTCTTCAGCAAGGCAACTTTAATCATTGACCTACCTTCTGTTTCCAGACATGTGTATCTGAACGAAACAGGCATGAATTGGCTAGTTTGCTCCTTAAAGGTTCACATATGCAATCTACTGCAGTCTTTGATAAATTTTATACAAAAATGAAAATACGTGTAAATGCATATTTAATGTGGTATCTGAATAATGGTAGTTAACATCTCACTCAGTTATTGTCTTCCAATGAAATTTAAGATGAAATATATATTTATTATATCTAATTACAGATTTTTTTATATCCAATTAAGTTTAAAAGAACATCTTACAGATTTTTTTGCATGCTTTCTATTTGAAGGGAGGGAATGGAGAAATAATGCATGATATTTTTCAATATGTAGTATCTATTCATCAGCAATAAATTTATATTTTTCCAACCATGCATTTAAAAAAATCACAAGAAGAATTTCTGGGTATTGAAATATATGCATTTTAACAAATTATTTGCCACTAAATTATTCTATAAAATTTGGGTGGTGCTACTTTTCTGTTAATTGAATGGAAAATTCAATGTGAGATGCATTTTTGGCAGATAATCCCTTCTTTTTTTATATGCCCTCAGTTACTAAAAAGAAAGGGAAAATGTGGCATAATGTTTTAGAATACTTAGTATTTACCTTGTGAAATCAACTGCTCATACATGTAAACTTTTCAGATTCAGTGTAAATTCCTTTTCCTGACCTCTGATGTATTTTTTTGCAACGTATCTAGATTTTGACAGTTGAGTTGTTAAAGCTTGGTTTTCAAAATTTGTTTTCTCACTTTATAAGAATTAATATTTGGACATATTTTATTTTAGGAGAAGCAGACAAACAGAAAGCCAAGGGCAAAAAAAAGCAGTGGTGGCGGCCTTGGGTTGATCATGCTTCCAGTAGGTTTTCTCGATCCTCTTACAATTTCATCGATACTAACCCTTATATCCTTGACCAGAATTCAGGCGGCCCTATGACCTGTGTGTTCCATGCATGGTTTGATTCTTGTGACTTGATAGGGGGTCAGAGGATGAGAAAATGGTGATGGAAATGGGTCTCTGAGCCCTCGAGTTGGAATCTTCCAGAGAAACCAGCTGATTACCACGCTGGCTAAAGAAAGCCGAGCGCATGGCTTACATACTCCTGAGCGCCATTTATGGCTCAGAAAGGGAAGAGCAATTGCTACAGCTCCCCAGTTCTGAGGCTAAGAGCTCTGCTGATATGTATGTTTTATGGCAGAAAACCCTTCTTAAAAGTGTGTTCCAGCTCCTCCTGGGACTCTGATTTAAGGGTAGTCATGATGTTCAAAGTGTTTCTGACTCTCTTTGTAAAGCATTAGGCATCAATGCCAGTGAGCCTCTCCTTTCCTCATTCCCAGGGCTTTAATTTTATTTGCATGGAAAGGTTTGGGGAAATTTATTAAATATAAAGGTAAGGATAACTTAAACTGCATTTACATTCTCACTCTGTCTCCTCCCAGTTTCAAACGCCCAGCATGTGGCATGGCCTCTGATCTACTTGTGACCAATTAAGACCAAAGTCAGAAAGCGTTTTTTGAAAAGCAGAACTTGATAGCCAGATAGAATTAGTGCATTTACCTCTAATCATAAAAGAGAATGAGGAGATATGGAGCTCAGTGGCTATATTTGTTCTGCTTAGCAAAGGAAACATCAGTTGTTATTGGCCAGTGGTATTATAATGGAATGATCCATTTCAATCTGGGCCTCCTTAAATTTGGTGTAATATTGAACAATTATTAGTTATATTGCAAATTATTTGTAGTGTGTCAGTCTCTATGTCTTACACCGTGTCTTGTAACTGTAGCTAATGTAATGGACAAGGAACATCACCCACAGCATTACAAGTGGATGGGAGGGTCCCTGCTAATAGCATATTCAGAATTCTAGACAATCAAGTTGATCAGAATCTTTGCCCATACCTAATTCTTAGTGTCACTTAGATCTGGTATTGGCCTCTCTCACCCAAGAAATAACTTTCTAAAGTCAGCTTAAGGAAGTAATATTCAAACTTTGCTCGGTATACATCAGTGTAATTAAATTCAATCCCAAATACTGCATTTTAGCATTATGGCAGAAAAAAATCCATGAGTTATAAAGAATTTCATCTTATTCACTTGCCAAGTCAAAAGACAAAGATTCAAGTTGAAATTCTGTGTGACTCTGTTTTATTGTCCATTGGCATGTTTGTCATGCTGACAGTGTGGTGTGCACTGTAAGCCTATTTCTATCAAGTCACAAGTAAACTGTGTCTTTCTGTTTTTAAAGGGCCCTTTGCTGGTTTAGAGAGACCTATCCATTTCAAAATTGTGTCATACTGAACGTTTTGTCCCATCACCTGGGGTAAATACCATTGAAAGCATTGTGGTTGTCTTTCCTTTTCTCATCTAAACATTGCATTTTGGAAGGAATTGGATATGGTCTTTGATAATCATCTTACAAGTTGGTAATGATTTGAAGAGCTTCCTGTGAAGATTATTGACTTTAGATTTTCTGGTTCATTTCACCCTCATTATAATATCAAGTTCCTGAAAACTGGTATTAAATTAAACGTGCCTTGTTACAATACCTTATGGTGCAATAATGCAGGGATGTGTGTAATTCATAGTTTGGAATCAGATTCTGACTGTGGTGTTAAAATTTTTCTACAAAACATATTTCCTTTTACAAGCTCATGAGGAAAGGAAAGGAAGGAATATGTGGTTTATTTTTTAGATTATGATACTTTACAAAAGTTCTCTTTAGGTCTGGAGGCCCTTTATTAAAAGCCTTTATTCTGATCTCTTGAGTCACTGGGCTTTTAAATAGATATTTCTTGGAGGTGTGGAATGTAAAAATAACTGTACTTGGAATTCTCTCATGTAAATCTATTGACAATACAACAGTGTTGCTATGTTGCACATATTATTGGTAAGCAATCAAGATCTTGATGTGGTCTGCATGTAACAGAGCTCATATTTCCATACCTATGTGCACACATACAGTTGCATTATTGCTGTTCAATGATACCTTCCATTCCAGCGTAGTATGTCTCCTTGTCTACTCAGCACTGCCTGAGTTGATGCCAAGCCTTACTTCATCATTAAATATCTGAAATAAAGGGCCAAGTGTCTGGGGATAGAGGTGGCTGGATTTTAAAAGTTATTTCTCATTCAGTTCAGCAACATTCATGATCCGTGTGTGGACACAGGCTAAAGGCAGGATCCCTATCTAAATGAACAAACGTATATGTAAAAGCTTCTCCACTTCTTATTAGCTGGTAGCACTAGAGAAAATTTTCCGTTGTCCTAGTTTTATTTCAGTAACATTTTATAAAGGAGTAGGTGACTGTTTAAATATTTCCTTCTTTTTTTAATGTGTTAATTCTACTTCTCATACACAAATTGAAGTTTTTTAAATGATATAATTAGTGCATGACTGCTTGAGATGAAACATATTTGGGCTCACAGTCTCCATGTGCATAAAGTTATAGAAGGTATGATTGAATACAATTTAAGCTATTGTTGATTTTAGAGCCTATAATGAGGGTAAAATGCTCAATCTTATAATACTGTATTTTTACCAAATGACCATGTGACATCAAGTCCATGTAACTTTCCTGCAAATCACTGAGCTTACATAAAAGCATTACTTTAATGGTCTTCCTTACTGTCAAATGTAATGCTGTAACTTTGGTTTGTTCTTGCTTATTCCTACGTTGTATCCCTATTACTGCATTTATTTCCTCAGGCCTGGACCGAGTACTCCGGACCTGGCTCTTTCTTGAAAATACAAATGACAAATTACAGTGCTTCTGTTCAAGGATATAAGGCCCAATTCATTCACTATGTTTCTTCATGGATGGAGGCTTCAGATACGTCTGAAATCATGGGCAAAATTATTTACTTTTTGACCATGTTTAGTGATATTTGAACAACGAATTTTAAACAAGCCAAGGTATTCCATTACCTTACAATGGATAAGTCCAAAAGATAACTGAAGACATGTTATGTCATCCAAAAGATACCTCAGCATTTGAAAAAACTTAAATACAACTTGAAAATATTGATATGTGTGTTTTCCTGTAATGATGGTACAGTTCTTATACCATCAGAAATGTATATGCTGGGTCTCTTTTCCCTGATAATTTAAAATAATGTATGAACCGATAAAGACTAGATTCTCATATTTTTGTACTTCGCTGGGCATTTTAGCTTTCTCTGCCCCCAACTCTCAACACAGCAACATGTTCTTGCAGGGAAAACATCAGGCAGGCAAGGACGAGCCATACGATCTGTGCTTGGTGACATGGTCAGCGCAGTTCTCAAAACCCAGTAAGCGACTGGGGAACCCCTTGCTGACCAGAAGCCTGACAGTGCCAAACTACAGACCATGTCTGCCATGCCTTGGTCTTTCCCTGCTATGTGTGGGAACAGCCAGAGCAGTGTTGGTGGTGTCTTTGTGGGTCTATTCTTTTTTTTCAAGTAACCTGCCCACTTCCTCCTCATGCCAATGTGTTATTTTTTTTAACTCTTTCAAATGTCTTGCCATATATGTTATGTCCCTTATGTTGCATGTGTAGAAGCCATGTCTGCACACTATAAAATGAAGTAGAAGTTTTGGTGACACTGGTTCTGGGTCCTGAACCATCCTGACTGGCTTCTCTGCAACAGTCTGGACCCATCCGGGCAACCCTCAGTCCTCCACTTGACTTCGGCCTTGCCTAAAGGACTGAAACTGTTTAACTGTGAAGCAGTAATAGTTTTCAGTTATTTTGGTCATCTTGGTGACAAAACCCTTTGCTGCGGAGTTGATCTGATGCATTGGCATAGTATTACCCTGGGAAGGAAGAAATTACCAGACGCGCCCCGTGGTGGCCAGGTCCCACCCGCAGCAGAGACAGGCCCGGGCCCCGCAGACCAGGGCGCCGCCGGCCCAGAATGAGTCCCTCCACCTCTTGTGTTTTCCTCCCAACCAACATCTCTTGCTCTGGGCCTTCTGTGGACTCATGTTATCTTTGGGGGGCATTTCATTAATAAGCCCTCAATGATCTCATATCTCTTTCAAGAAATAAGTAAATATTTTGTTTTGCTTAGTGGTCAGGAGTGGAGATTATTACTTGTTCGAAACGGATAGTGAAGAGGAGGAAGAGGAAGAATTAAAAAGGGAAGACGAGGAACCTCCGCGAAGGTCCGCGTTCCAGGTAATCACGGGGCTGGGGCGCCGGGCCGCGGGGCCTGGCCGGGTGAAGGGCTGTTCTCACCAGGCCCTGAGCGCAGGCCTCGACTGCATGGCCACACAGGCCACACAGGCCACAGCCCCTAGAAGCCTCTGATTGGCGTCTGGAGCCGTGTATTCCTCGCTAGGCTGTCACGTGCGCGCTCTCCGCGTTGTCAGAAAAAGATGTCTGACGCTATAAACAGAAAAATAGAACTCCCTTGGGTGAACTTTAGTTTTCTGTTGCAAGTATGAGGCGAAGAAGGACTTCTCTGGCGTTTCTTTGGACTGCTCGAGAGGACTTAAGTTTTGATATGTGAAATAGTTGATCGTGAAAATAAGATAACTTTCTTTGTTTTAAAACAAATGATCATTTAAATGTTACTCCAAATTTTGAAAATCAGTTTCACTTGTATTGCTAACCACTTGAGAATTTATTGACAGGATGAAAATATCTCACCCAGTTCTGATTTTTTCAGCCTTAACTGCCTTTTTTTTTTTTCAGAACCTGTGGTGTCATTCTCAGTTCTGTATCTCACCAGCCTAGGACAGGGTATACAGTGAATGTCTAATTAATGCTGGTTGAAAATGAGAATTGCATATGGGATGAAGGCTTGATATATATTTCTTTTGCAAAGGAGCCACATACTAGGACTGTTATTTCCCATTTGTTATACTATGAGGCACACAGAATTATACCCATCAAGTCACATGATATGTCCATGAAAAGGCCATTGGCAGTTTTCTGGGTAGGTCTTCTCAAGCTGGCAGGTCATATCCACCCATCTTGCTAGTGAAATTGAAAAGCTGAATTAATCACGGAGACACCTTGCGCTGATGTTCTCTCCCTGGCGCCTCTGCTGCCTGTATTTGTTTCTTGATGACTGCGTCTATGACCGTGTCTGTGTGCGAGTATGCAGCTGGCTTGGCGAATACTAATGACTTGACTTCATTTTATTCTAATGAATTTTATTCTAACCATCACTCATCATGTTGTGAAGGAGAGAACATGATCATCCTCTGTATTTTTGTGGATTATATATGCAATGACTGACAATTTTATTTATTCCTACCCTACAAGCATAGCACATTTTATTCTAGCTTCAATGATTAGCATATTTTAACCTAGTTAATGTACAGACAAACTTATGCTGATGTCATATGTCAAATTATTGGTTTTTGGTTTTTTTCTACTAATTACTCTTGCTTTGTCCTTCTTTGTAGAGAGCTATTGGGAAGTTTGCATCAGCCATTTTAGCCTTGCCCAAGTCTGTCATTAAACTTCCCAAAACTATTCTTCAGTATTTAATCAGAGCTGCAAAGGTATTTGATGTTTTACTGATGTGTGTGGTGTGAGCCTTTGCTCCATAGAACTTTAGACAAGCAGACCCCTGTTGCCTTAAATCTGCATTTTCCCTGTTCTATAGATCATACAGTGAAGGAATTATAAAAATTTAGGTATTAGGCAAACTTTTCCAAAAAGAGTTTTGAAAGGCCAATTTTCTTATTGTTGACTCTCATTTTTCAGTTGACCAGAGCCTATCAAAACATAGAAAGAGAAAATGCAGACACATCTACTTTTTGTCTTTCTCATTGTTTTGCCTATGTCACATCCGATTTTGAAACGGTCACATCTGGTTGCATGCATCAGTTATGATGTATAAAAGGTATGATAATTTTTCTCAGGAAGCTGGTAAAATTATGAGTAAGCTAATAAAATACTCATTTTGCTTCATCTCCTATTTGGCTTCCTTTTGAGTCCCCATCTTCCTAAATTGGATCTCCTCTCCCCTGTGCTTTTCTGGATTGAGTCCGTCTCCTCAGGAGGCTGTGCCATGTAGACAGGCTGTCCGTCTCCTCACCCCACATCATCAGTGGTAGTAGGAATAAATGGAAAAAAACATTTGTTAATTAATGTACAACAGAAATTATCCATCTACCTATGCTGTAGTCACTTCATTACTGAAAATTACAGATAATGTATTATTCTTGTTCTTTATGGGAAGCTGTTTCTCCTGACTTAACCTGACATAGGCACTTAAACCCTTGGGTCTATAATTATGTTCAAATGGTAAGCAAATGATTTGGATAGTGAGGGAAACTACATTTTACCTGGGGATTTAAATTCTGGTTATTTAAATTCAGTAGGTACTGTGGCACCTGAAATTACATATTTCTCTCAGCTCCCAGGTGAAGCACAGTTTCTGGTCCACCTTGAGTAGCAGGCTTTCAATCTCTGGGTTTCTTCCATTTTTAAAATGCCAGGATTCTGATTTTTAGATTAGTATTCACTGTTGCCACTTCCCTAAGATTCTTTTTCCGTTCCCTTTTCCCTTTGATGACTATCAGATGAGTCTTTCCACTCATAGTTAGGCATTTATATGAAAGATTGCAATGTAATTATCCTCCATCTAACTTTAAGGAAAAAAAAAACTTCTTACAGCCAACATAAAGAAAGCCTACATAACACCTGATATCAAGGACAGTTTATGAAACATAGGTAATTTCAGTTAGAGATCTCCACTTCAATAAAGTTCTCTTCTATTTTAAAAATTAAATGCTTATTGCAGTAAGTTTTTAGTAAAATGAGTTCCATTTTCCCCTAATACATGTGATGACATTTAAGATACATCACTTAATATATAATCTAAGAAAATTGGGGATACATGCTAGTGGCAGTGACACTTTGGAAAGCTGAAGGTCATCTATGTACATTTTCATGTAGTTTTCTCCTTATGGTTAATGGTGCATGTGCCTAATTCCCCAGAGAAACCCATGGAATTGGGTAATAGTTACAGCTACATGTAAGAATTAAGAAGTTTTTGTAAGAAACTTCCATTTCTTGACTAAGAATTGGGATGTTTCTCTTCCTCCTTCATTATTAATTTTTTCCTGAAACAGTTGGACTGACCCTCTGTCAAATGTTGCTGGAACTATAAAATGTTCGTATTTCTAAGCATCAACATTAGGTTAATTCACCTACAAATAAAGACTTGTCATGTGATCCTGTCTTCCCACCTCATTTCCCCATATTCGCATTATCTAAATCCCATCTCAGTGAGAGAGCACTAATAGGCTTGACCTTTAGGGATCATATGAAGAGCCAGGAGCCCCCTTTCATAAAGCAAAATGCTAAGGCACTTACCCTTTTGACAATTCTATCCTAAACGCCCCCTTCTCTTTCTCCTTCTCACCCTTCCTCCTGGGGGTTTCATTTTTCTTCAGAGCAAAAGAATTCCTCTGACTTGTGCACCTAATACATAGACAAATCCTGAACTAGTTTTTATTTTCTATGTTTGGGATTCTTGAGTTATTTTAAAGCAATACTGTAGTCAACATTTTTTAAGGGAAATGTCACCATATGTTGCTCTTAAGCCTGAAATTTTCTTGTGCTTAGCAACTCAGAGTTTTTTAAAGAATTAATATTTTGCTGAAGCAAATTTGATTATTAATGTCCTAATCATCTAAGATATTCTTCATGAAATTCCCAATTAACATGCTGAGTAAATATCTTCCATCAGTTCCTTTATTTGATCTTTACCCCTCAAATTCCAGTTCATCTTCTCATTTTTCAACATGTCTTGACTAAAATAAGGTGCATTTTTTGCTCCCTGGGGTTTATTATTCATAAATAATACAGATGTTACATGTGTGTTAATTGCCTTTAAGATACAGATGTCTCCCAGTGAGAAAAAGAAAAAATGCTCTTCCTTATTAACCTGTGACCTGTATATTTCCATCTAATGAAAAATTGAATCTGTCTTTATTTTTACTGATATGACAATGCCAGTAGCTTGCTTATACCATGTTTTTCAAAGATTTTGGAAATCTGAGAATAATATAGAATAAAATGGTTTACAAGCACCCCAACAAAGCATTCCTTTATCATCATAATGAAAAACCCAGCTTCTCTGAGACACAAGTGTATTTGTGGGTGCATGACAAGCATGCCTGCTTGGCTTCCAGATTATAAACGGCTAACTTTATATATCAAGGTTTTCTTTTTGTTCCTTCTGCATGACTTGGGACACTATTGGTGGGTGGGCTATTCAAAATTCCTCTATCATTTTCCCTGTTAAAATAAAAGAATGCAACTATTTTCAGCTCTTGAGTGAGAATGACAAAAGGCAACCAAAGGAACCACCGTTTTCCTTCTATACCCCTGTGGAATAATTCCTTAGCCTTAATACTACATTATTTTTCCTCTCCAAATATTAATCAATCTACAAAGTCCTTTCTCAAGTTGCTGGTCTTAGCTGTTAATCACAAGGGAGAATATCAAATGTGCAAAAGTGTTTCCCCAAAGTAAATGAGTAAAAGATGTTCTGTTTTTGACTCAAAGTTTATTTGTGACTGAAAAAATCTACTCTAATAATACTTAAGGAGGAATCCAGCTTATTCCAATTGTGTGTAATGCAAAAGAATCAGTAACTGTCACAAATGGTGGTGGTAGGTGGGGACTTGGGAGAAATGGTGGCTTTTATATACCCAAAGTATCTCATGATCATGACACCAAATGATGTATTTCCCAACGTTGTATGTCATGGTAATGGAAATAACACAGGTCAGCTCAGAACACTGAGGGGTATGGGAGGTTTAGGATGTGTTGGGAGAAAAACATATTTCCAAAAGTCAGGTAGCTTGATGTTGGTCCCTTTTCTTTTAACTGAAATTATTAAGAAGCCAAAAAATAATTGAACTTTCTCCCTTCAGTTTGTTTACCAAGCCTGGATTACTGACCCTAAAACAGCACTCCGACAGAGGCGCAAAGAGAAAAAGAGGTCTGCAAGAGAGGAACAGAAAAGGAGAAAAGGATCTGGGGAGGGTAAGTGCTGCGTGGGCACAGCAGGCTCCCTCCCACGCCCGTGTCTGGGCCCTAGAATTGAAAAGAGGAACAACAAAGGACAGACACTTCGCAGGAACAACATTCTTAAATTGCAAAGAGCGCAAAGAGTTTGACCTGTCTATAATTACTTGTGTCTGACACTTGGAATAAATACACATGAATTTAAGTGAGGATACATTTTATAAAATGAGAAGACAGAGACACTCAAAATAAACTCAAAGAGAATAAAAGAAAAAGGTTAATTTTTTTAGGTGGATGTTAAATCATAAACAAGAAACACAAGACCTGATCATTAAATAGTAAGCTGTTCTTGGGAAAATAATAAGATGTGTCTTTTGAAATTTTATCAAAAAAGAAAGGAAAAACATACTTAAACAGTACTCAAGAACCGAAAGTGGAACATAACTACTACTACTATATCCAACTTTATGATAGTACATTTGAAAACATACAATAGGAACACATTTCTAATGGGGAAAAACATCAAACTATAACAAAAACAAAGTAAAAGTGCAAGTGGGCACCCAGGAAAAATATTTTCAGTCTATATATCAGACTAAAAGAGTAGCCTGGATATATGAAAAACTCCTAAAAATCAGTAAAAGAAAATTCAACCCAATAGATGAAAGGGTACGAAAAACAAACAGATCAGGAAACAAAAATGGGTAAAGGAGCTCAGCTTCACTAGTAATATGTGAAACACAAACTAAATATTTTGACTGTTTCTTGTTTACCTATCAGATTGGCAAGAATCTAAACATTTGATAATATCACTGTTTAGAGCTATTGGAAGGTAGTATTTTTGTACACTCTGAGTGGTTAGGAAGTAGTGCATCCACTTAGAGCAGTGTGTCAATATCTATGAAAATTCTAAGTGCACTTATCCTTCTACAGATCAATCTCACTTCTCAATGTGTGACTTAACCTGCAGCAATATTTGCACATGTGTGCAAGGCTCATGTCTAAAAATATTCATCAAATATTATTTGTAAATAATAAACACTTGGGAACATCCTAAGTGCCCACATGAAGAAGACAAATCAAGTAAATTACGTTACCAATATATTATGCAATATTATTGAGTAGTTTAAAAGAGAGGGAGGTGTTACTTTGAACTGACTTGAAGAACAATTCCTGACATATTGTTAAATGAAACACAGGTTGCAGAATGGCACACACATTAGGAAACCATTTATGAAATGAGGAAACCAAAGTACCTCAAGACAGTATTTTGCATTTTAAATGGGTGCATAGAATAGTGTAAAATGCAAGAGAAAGATCAGGAAAAATACTTAGCAAATTAATGACAGTGGTTACTTCTGGGAGAGGGTGGAGAGACTGAGATTAAGGAACTATAGGCTATCTGTTCTGTTTTGGTTCTTTATGGAGGTATAGATGTGAAATTAAAAATGTATTCTAAAAAGAAAAGAAAAGGAAAATATAATTTCTAATGGAACACTAATTGCAAAACCTCTCTCCTTTTTTACCATTCTGCTCCCTGCTACCACCTGTAGCTTGTATTTTATTTTACTCTATTGGTTTAAAAAGACAAAAGTAAGCACATCTGATATAACAAGGCAATTGTAAAGACACAGATGTACAATCTGCCCTGAAAACACGTCCTCTCAGATGCCAGATCCTCATGGTATGTTGTGTTCACTTCCAGTCCTGCCCATGCCCATATGTATGTGCCACATTTCCTTTGTTTTTCAAAAATGGCTCATACTATATAAACTACTCTTGTATGTTCATTACTAGTGTATCATGAACATTTCTGCAATTAAATATTTGTAAAACTTCAGCATCCTTTTTTAATAGCTGCAGAATATTCTATAATATGGGTATGCATAATTTATTCAACTATTCCATCACTAATGGACATAAAGTTTGCTTCCAAATTTTTTCCAGAATGAATAATGCTATCATGGATTTCCTTGCACAGAAATTCATATATAGTTGTATGTGTGTTTATATATATATGTATTTAAACGCATAGCAAAAAGTCAGGAACAACATACACTTTCCACAAACTAGATTATCAAAAGTTGGATTTCTAAATTAAAGGGTGTGTCTATTTTTACTTTAATAAATATTTTCCCCCAAAGTGTATAGGAACGTACACTCCTTTGTGAAAGATCCAGGAGTATCCATTTCCCTGTAGCCTTGTCCCACAGGATAGTATTACTCCATTACTCTTGCTATTGTTTGTCTTTCTCAAGAATGACAAATGGCTTCTATTTCATTTCAATTTTCCTAACTAATGAGAATGCACATTTTTTATTTCATATTTCCTTGATACTTTGTAGTCCCAAATCCAAGGTGTAAGCCTTTTACCACTTTCCGCAATATCATTCTATTGGTTTGTTTGTCCTTATTAATTTAGAGAATATTTATATGTTGTGGATATTATCCTCTTTTCATGTGGTACAAATATTTATTTTCCAATCTGATGCTTATCTTCTAATTTAGTTTACAGTATATGTTGTCTACACAATTTTTAATTGTTTCTGATGTCAAATAGATTCAAATTTATTTTTGTAATTCTTAGGTTTCCATTTTGTTTAAGTCTTTCCCCCTAAATATTATGCAAATGTTTGCCTATACTTCCTCCTAATTTTATTTGTATTTTGAAATGTTTTATTTTTCTATGAAGTAGAGACCCAATTTCTTTTTGATGGACACAGTTATGCTATCCCTGTTGATTAAATGATCTCCATTTTTCTATTGAATTGGAATGCTAGTTTTGTCACTGTTAAGTTCCAATTTAGTCTTAGCTATTTCTGGACTCTGTATTCTGATCCACTGTCCTACTATCTAGTGCTGAGCCAATGTCATATATTTTTGAGTCCAGCAGCTATAGAGTTAGTTTTACTATTTAGTGTTTCAGACTCCACTTACTATGTCTTTTTCTTTTTTCAGACTTGTACTTGCTTTTCTCAGACATTTGTTTTTCTAAAATCACTTGACCAGTTCTAAAAATGTGTCCTTTAGTCATCTTGTTAATATCTTATTACTTTGTATCAGGAAGATTATTTCATGTGCAGATCACCACTGTTTACCTACGAATCAAAGACAGCAATAATTCAAAGATAATGGGACTTAAATAAATGCTATTTATTCCTTTAACAAATATTTGCTCAGCACTTTCTTTGTATAGGGAATCATCTCTTTTTAGGTCACTCCTGCACAGATGAAGCACATAAATGCTGCCTGTCCAAAGTGGCAGGTGCTGTTGTAAATGCTTCCTGTGCAATAACTCACCTGATGTTCAGAACAGCCCATTTTATTCTCCCTGCCCTACAGATGATGAAATGAGGTCCATGAAGGAATTTGCCTAAGGTCACACAGCCATCCAAGGAGTGGTGGGTCTGGAATTCATAGCAGGCATCTTGTCTCTAGACCCTTCTAACTTACAAGCAGGGAACACAAGTATAGGAGAAAAAATCCCTAATAATGTAGAAACTGCAGAGGGCCATCTAAAATACAAGCAATAGCTAAAATAGCATGGGACCAAAGGGACAAAAGATGACTTATAGCCAAGAGTCATAGAGCCAAGGGCTGGCAATACTTTATGAAAAAGGTAGTGTTTGAATAGAGCCTGACACGCAAATAGAAGAAAGCAAAACCACGTATGAGAAATAAAGAGCAGGTTAGCTTAGTTGGTGAGGATGAGATACGATGCAGTGTGGTGGAAAACACGTTTGGGAAGGTTCACTGGAGTCAGATCATGAATGGTCTTAGATCAGGTAAAATACAAAGCCCAGTTAAAGTTGAATGTTTTTGACAAGCAACAAGCAATTTTTTAGCTTAAGTATGACGTGTGCATATTGCATGGGACTCACACCGAAAAAGTTATTTGTTGTCATTTTTAAGTTCAAACTTACCTGAATGTCCTGTGAGTTTTCATTTGCTATATCTGAGAACCTTAACCTTCAATAAGAGGCTAAGAAATAAAATGAAATCCTGTGATGTCATTTTAGGGGTTGACACACTAAAACACATAACATTACCCCAAGGTAATAAAATTTTAAATTTCATCCTTTATATCAGGAGTTGGCACACCTTTTCTGCATAGGGTCAAATAGGAAATATTTTAAGTTTTTCAGGTCATAAGCCTCTGTTGCAGCAACCCTGCCACTGTAGGGTGAAAGTAGCCACAGACACGATGTGAGCCAGTGGGTGTGTCTCTGTCCCATTAAACTTTGCATTTTGTACAATTTTCACATGCACTAAATATTATTCTTTTTAAGAATGTTTTCAACTATTAAAAATACAAAAACCATTCTGAACTCACAAGCCATTTAACCATAGGAACTATTTGGTAAGATTTAGCCAGCAGATTATAGTTTACCCATCCTTGATGTACATGGTTCTTATTCTGGAGTGAAGTAAAGAGAATCCGAAAGCTAATAATTCTTACAGCTTTTCCCCAGGAACTCTTAAACTAGGCAGGATGTCCTAGATTTAATTACAGAATCCCTTTTGATCTGGGAGAGTAATGTTGGCATTTCATTTACCCTACAAGGATCTAACTCGCGTTTCCTGAACACACTTGGCAGGTCCTGTGGAGTGGGAAAGCCAAGACAACCAACCAGTCAAAAAGAAGTCTGACGGACCAGGTAACAAAATAAAGGCAAATACAAGCTGTGGGGAATCTGAAAGTGTTACTTGCCCAGATGGTATGTCATGTAAGGCTGCCTAAAAATAATTCATTGAATTCTGTTTGTGGACTAAGACTAAATAATCAGTGTCCAGTTGAAAGCTTATCTCTAGTGAAGTTGCAGGGTGACTCCTAAAAGTAGATTTGACCTTATACTGTTTTATTAAATGTAGGAGTAGACTTGGTTTGTAGATTCTTTTTACCAAATACCTATCAAAGGGGGTTTCAGGGAGCAGATGATAAATGTCTCATGGAAGCCACCAGAACAGAGGCACAAAAAAAATTGGCATTTAATTTTAAAGAACATAGAAATGAATTAAATGAGAATTACATCTGGGAAATTGAGAAAATGAGAAGTATTCTAGAAGCTTGGACCAACCTGCTCATCTAATGAGGGGAAACCAAACCCCGGTGAGTTGGCTCAAGATTCCACAGCTACTAAGTGACAGAGTCAGAGACAGAATCCGTGGCTACTAACGCCTACCCCAGTCATGGTGCCATTTGGGCTTCACACAGCATGCGACTGGGAGGAAGATATTTCCATGAAGGAAAAAGGGGAAAAAAAGGAAAACAAATCAAAGGAACTCAAATGCCCCTCTAGTTCCTAACATGCTGCTTGCTCTGCCTCGTGGGGTCAGAACCCCTGTGCACACTATTTAACAGCAGGCAAGGTTTAGAGGCTCTTACTCTGGACACAAATACTTCCCAGAATGCCATCTGCTGGCACAAAATGAGACTTGCCAAAGGTTATCTAACACCCTCTGTGGCACAATATTAAACCTGGCCTCTGTTTCCAGGTAATTTGACTCTCATGTATGTGGAGATTGCACATCTTCTTTGCCAGGCACTTTGCTGAGACTTTTGGACATACTAACTTTTAACTCCCTCAAAAAGCCTCTTCCCCATGTGACAAGTGAGAAACTGAGACAGAGAAAGATTGGCTAACTTTTCCAAGTCTCTCCATCACCAAGGGGTAGAGCTGGGATTTGAACCCAAGGAGTCTGAATCCAGAGTCCATGCTCTTAATCACTATGCCCTACTGCTTCTACAGCTAAAAAAGACATAGAAATAAAAATCAGAATTTTACATGTTAGTTTGCAGTCACCCAGGTTAATAAAGTGCGTGTTATTCATGCCTCCAACACAGCAATTCTAGTTTTACTGTCAGGACCACCATTAGCAAAACTGTGACATAATTATGTTTCTCTTCACCACTTAAAGACAATAATTGTGGATATGAGGGAAAAAAAGAAGTTGTCAAAAATGTAAGATGCTGCTAAAATTTATTTATAGGTGTTAAGTCCACATCCTTGAGCCTCCAGGGTTCAAACTTTCCTGTTATATCCAAACTAAACCACTACAGGGTCCATCCAAACAACTGTGGGAGAGACACACCTTGCTCAAGATTAGATCCAGACCAGAGGGGGAGGGTAGGAAGAGCAGTGGAGGTGTTCCCGGCCCCATCTGGCTCAGAATGGCTCCTCTGTGGGGTCCACAGCACCCACTCCACTGAGCTTCATGGAGCAGCTGTTGCCGTCAGGGCCTCTGCGCAACAAAGGATGCACTTGCTCCCGTATTTCCTAAAGTGCACTTCATGCAAGACTGTTAAGTGCGACACAATTTGGCAGAGGTGCTGGGGGTAGCGGGACGGTGACAGCACAGGCAGGAAACAACTTCTCAGGGAAAGGTGTGACTGCAGTTGCAACCTCAGTCTGCCTCTCACTGCAGATGTCTACAAGAGCCTGGCTTGGCTGCCAGGAGGCCTTTTCATTAGATCATCCCCCACGTCCTTTCCCATATCCCCAACTTTCTTTCCCAGGTGCAAGCTGGCAGCTCCAAGACTCCTGGTACCTCAGTGGCTAGACCCGTTTCCTTCCTCTCAGACTCCACCCTGCTCATCGGGACTCTGCCCGGAGGCCACACCATTCACAGCCTTACTTCCTTTTGACCATTTTCCTTTTGGACAGGAAAACCTGGGAGAAATTCTGCCTTCCTTCTAGGCCACCCAATTCACAAATGACTTTCTTTTTTCCATTATAAAATCAAACTACAAATCAAACTGAGGTCTTTATCGGAGAGGGGGAGGATTGATGGACAGCAGGGGTGAGTCATTCGGTGGTCATACCTGATTAGAAGTCAGGAAACTATAGGACCCTGGGTCAAATCCTGCCTGCCACGTGTTTTTATATGGCTTGTTAGCTAAGGATGATTTTTGTATTTTCTCATGGGTGAAAAAAGTCAGAAGAAGAGTATTTCATGACATATGAAAATTACAAAATTCAAATTCCAGCATCCATAAATAAAGTTTTATTGGAAATCCACCCATGCCCATCATAGACAATTCATTCAGAAAAGATGAGTAGTTGCAATAGAGACAGTATGGAGTACAAAGCTGGAAATATTTGCCACAGGCCCTGTCGAGAAAATGTTTGTTGACCCTGCACAAGATCATAAAGGCTTATGCCCTTTTCTACATTTTCTTCATTAGTGATTTTAAGCCTCAATTTCAAACTATGATCTTTAATCATAAATTCAGTAAGATTTTATTGTGACACTTGAATCTGGTTTCTTTTTTTTTTTGGTGGGAATGGTCAGGGATACAGTTGTTTTTCTTATTTGTAGTTTGTTTTTAATAAACAGTGAGGCAATAAGAATGAGGAGGGAGATGTCTAGGCTGGCATGTGCATACAGTGAGACAACGAATTTGACCGGATCTGTACTGTTGGAACTCAACCAGGAGTTGGGAGGGGTGCAAGTTGTAGCACTCCAAAATCTCATGACTATAGACTATCTATGGTTAAAAGAACATATGGGATGTGAACAGATCCCAGAAATGGGCTGCTTTAATTTGTCTGATGGTTCAAGTACAGTTGGACAATATCCATCATATCATAGATAAATTTTCACAAATGCCTAGGGTGCCTAAATGGTTTTCTTGGCTTCACTGGAGATGGATGGTAATTATAGATTTGCTTTGTTTATGTCACCGTATTCCTATTATGTTAATATGTGTGTGCAAATTAGTTAGTAGTTTAAAACCTATACATACTTAAGGTACTATACAAGAAGATATGTCAAAGAAATAATCAATCCTCCCATGTTTCCTTCATATGCTACATCTATAGCTTTTCTTCTTCCTTCCTAATTACAACCCTTAAATAGAATTCGTGCCTCATATCGAATTTACCGAGTATCATAATTCCTCCAGGTGGTAAAGATACCTCGAGACAAGTGCTGGGCATAGAAGCCACAGGGCATAAATCTGCAAAGAAGTAAAAAGCTAACCTTTGCAAACAATATGGCTTCTCTCTCACTTACCAACTTTACATTTCCCTGTATGGCCCCGGAAGATGACTGGTTAGCCAGAGACGGGTAAGATTCCTCAAGGGAGGAACAACCTAAGACAGGCACAGTCGCAGGGGGGCCATCAGGTGAGAATTTGGGGATCAACAGAGGTGAGGCTCAGAACCTCACCCCCCCTGCTTTGAGAGAAATCTTCTGCATCCGTGGATGTCTTGCTGCCCTTGTCTAGCCTGGATTAATACTTAGTCCATAGGCACACACCTGATCATCTGATCATCTA